CTTCCTTTGCTTTTGCTAGTTACTTGGGATAGATTTGCTATATCATAAAATAAACAGGACACGGAAATGAAATATGTCAGATTTATCATAATAACTACTTAGAAGCCTTTATTTATGTTCTAAGACCGTTTTTTATTGAGACAAAACGAAAAGTTGTATGCTTTCCTCTCTCTGCTTCTCCTCTGTTTCTATACTCTGTTTTCTCTTTAAGCTCATTTTCTCTTACTAACAAAGGTATTGTTTTTTCAGGAAACTGAATTAAGAAAATAATATTTTAGACGACGAGCTTAAGGAAGCAAAAGGAAGAAGATGAAGTATGTGGTGGTTTCAGGAGGAGTAGTGAGTGGACTCGGAAAAGGAGTCACGGCAAGTAGCATCGGACTCATCCTCAAGTCTTGTGGATTCCGAGTTACCGCCATTAAAATCGGTCTCGTTTCTTTGTTTTTTCTCTCTTTATTACAACAAACTTGTCAATTCTTTCGTCTACAACGAACATGTCGCCTTTCTTTTTTTTTTTTTCTCACGCAAAGTTCGTTTCTTTTCTTCACTTTTGCTTTTGATTTTTCTCCCAACGAAATTGAGGAAAGAAAAGGAAAAGTTTCAGATTTGATTTTTTTGGCCCCAGTAGTACAACAAGCATGAAAAAGGAGGATTTTTTTTCCTCTACCTCTCACGCGTGTAGAAAAGTGTACAAACAATAAGTTAAAAAGATCTTCTTGGAATTTCCAAAGATTTACACTTTTCTATTTTCCCTGTTGAAATTCTCATGTCTTTTTTTCAGAAAAGCTAAACACTTTTTGTTTTGTTAGTTACTGTACTTAATCGCTGATTTCAAGGTCGGGTTTTTGCAGATCCTTACTTAAATATCGATGCTGGGACCATGTCACCTATTGAGCATGGTGAAGTTTACGTCTTGGACGATGGTGGCGAGGTACTTCAAAATTTAATAACCCTTCTTCACCAATTGCTCTGTTTCCGTAAATGGAAATGTCATTCAATTAGTTAGGTCAACAACCATTTTTTTAAAAATCAATTTTTTTGTTGTTGTGTGTTAATAAAAGGTTGATCTTGATCTTGGGAACTACGAGAGGTTCATGGATATTAAGTTGACCCGTGAAAACAACATAACTACCGGAAAGGTTTATAAGGTGTGTGTCTTTAGGATGTTATGAACACAAAAAAAATTGAAATGATTGATTTTGATCATTGAACTTACACGTTGAAATTTGTAAACAGCATGTGCTTGAAAAAGAGAGGAGAGGAGATTATCTTGGGAAGACTGTTCAGGTAACAAGCTGATATAAGTAGACCATCTGTTCGTTGAAGTTCCCCTGAAAGAGAGAGAGACGAAGATTTTGAAATTCCTTTTTTGGGTTTTGTAGGTTGTTCCTCATATCACTGATGCTATTCAAGAATGGATTGAGCGTGCGGCTAGGATTCCAGTTGATGGACAGTCAGGTCCAGCTGATGTTTGTGTCATAGAACTTGGAGGAACCATAGGTATTTTGATTAATTTCTCTTCATAAGAGACTTTAAACTCAGTATCATGCTTTATTCAGTTAAGTTTAAAAACATGGAGTTACTGTTTGAATTCTGCAGGAGATATAGAGTCCATGCCTTTTATTGAAGCTCTTGGGCAGTTCTCGTATCGTGTTGGTAAGAACTGGTTTGTTGTTCATTGAGGTTTAACAGTAAGAGTTTACCAAAGAAGTCAAGATCAAGTGATGTGTTTTTTAACCTTTTTTCAGGTTCTGGAAATTTTTGCTTGATCCATGTTGGTCTTGTGCCTGTATTGAATGTTGTTGGTGAACAGGCAAGTTTCTTGAGTCTTAAAATATGGTTTAATCTGTTGGCTTTTTCTTTTGGAGTTTTCACTATAACGATGTCTGACATACTGTGGTCTAATTTCTTACACAGAAGACTAAACCAACGCAACATAGCGTCCGAGACTTAAGAGGCCTTGGCTTGAGCCCTAATATCTTGGCTTGCCGAAGCACAAAGGTTCCATCATTGTTAAATCTTTTATTTTGGTTACGTTTGTTTTTCAGTCTCGGCTCTAAGTTCTTACGTTGAAACTTAACTTTGCAGCCACTTGAAGATAATGTGAAGGCCAAACTCTCTCAGTTTTGCCATGTTCCGGTATGTAATATTTGCAAGATAAGACTTTATCTTTCTCTTTGTACATACAAATATTGTTAAAGAAGTTATAATTCTTTTGCAGATGGAAAATGTTGTCACTCTCTATGATTGCCCCAATATTTGGCACATTCCACTGCTTCTCAAAGTGAGTAGCTTTCCCATTCCACCATAGTTTCAGAGTTTCGGTAAAGAGGTTTCTCTCATCACCAATGTCTTTACATTTCAACTTGTTTGAGCAGGAACAAAAGGCACACGAGGCGATTTTGCGTGTCTTGAACCTTAAAGGGTGTGTCTCACTTACTATTCTTCAATAGATTGATTCATTCATTTAAATGCTGATTCTTGTGGGAATCATTGTGTGATTTTTCCATATACAGAATTGCGAAGGAGCCTGCATTAGAGGAGTGGTCTTTAATGGCTAAAATGAGCGACAAGTTGCATGTTCCGGTATGTTACTGGTTCTACCATGACATCTCAGGCTTAGTTTATCTCACTGGTTTTCAGCTAGAGACTGACTTCATTATGTCTTCGGTTTTCAGGTCAGAATTGCTGTGGTTGGGAAGTACACAGAGCTCTTAGATTCTTATCTTTCCATTCACAAGGTAAACCTTTGCAAGATACATCAATCCCAACAGCTATAACCACAATTGTGCTTCATTTGCGGTATTTGATAAAGGAATTCTTGTCTTTGATGACTAGGCTCTCTTGCACGCTTCTGTGGCTAGGGGCAAGAAACTTGTCATAGATTGGATTTCAGCAAGTGACCTTCAACAAGGCGCGAAAAAGGAGGTATGTTTACACTTTACAGTAAGCTCTACTACTCATACAGATTATGGAACTTAGAAACTGAAGCAAAATTGATTCCCCTCTGCAGAATCCAGATGCATATAAGGCCGTCTGGAAGTTACTCAAGGTTCGAACATTCTCTCATTCCCATCAAATGAATCCTGATTTCTTGTGTCGAGATGAATTTTCCGTTGAGCGAGTCCATGTAATTTTTCTTCAGGGTGCTGATGGTATTCTTGTGCCGGGAGGTTTTGGCAATAGAGGTGTAGAAGGAAAGATTCTGGCAGCTAGATACGCCAGAGAAAACAGAGTTCCATACCTCGGTATCTGTCTAGGGATGCAACTCGCTGTGATCGAGTTTGCAAGAACCGTACTTGGTTTGCCAGATGCAAACAGCACTGAACTTGATCCCAACACCAAGAACCCTTGTGTCATCTTCATGCCTGAGGTTTGTTCTCTTCCACATTTTTCTGTTTGAGTTTCATTTACTTCGCTTTACTGAATTGCGGGATTTCCTGTAATTTTTGCTTCAATCAGGGCTCGAAAACGCATATGGGAGGCACTATGAGGCTAGGCTCCAGAAGAACTTATTTCCAAACTAAGGACTCCAAAACAGCCAAACTGTATGGGAACAGAAGTTTTGTCGATGAAAGACACCGACACAGATATGAGGTATTTAAGCAGCTTTAAGATTAGAGTGAAAACTCATCTCTTCTACAGTTTAAGCTAAAACAAGAATGTTCTTTTACAGGTGAATCCAGCCATGGTTCCACGTTTAGAAAGCTCTGGACTCACATTCACAGGAAAAGATGAGACGGGTCAGCGAATGGAGGTTAAAACCGATAGATAAACCCCTTACACCACATATATAAATTTCAATCTTCTTGGTTATAATTCTTTACATTTGATTATACAGATAGTTGAGCTTCCTAACCATCCGTTTTACGTTGGAGCTCAGTTCCATCCCGAGTACAAATCAAGACCCGGAAAACCATCTCCTCTGTTTCTAGGTGAAGAGAAACAAAACAAACCCCACAAAATCTCAGTTTCTTCCTTCATGCAATACATGCTTAAAAACCAAACCTTTTTTGTTGAATCAAAACTTGCAGGACTAATTGGTGCAGCTAGTGGAGAACTAGACATGCTACTGCAACAAAGCTGCCAAGAAACCGTCGTCTCACGTCCTCAATCGAATGGAAAACATGAGAAGAAAGTTTACTGGAAAGGCGCGGCGAAAAAGCCAGTCAGTGTTGTGTACAGTTTATGCGATCGTGTCTACTCATGAACGTGCCTGCATCAACGATGACTTCTCTCTCTCTAAGAAAGCTAGTTTATCCGGATTTTTAACATGGATTTCTTCACATGTGGAGGGAGAGAGAAGGCTCTGCTTTTGTACAGTTTGAAGATTGGCGTTATTTAGGAGATGGTTTTCTTAAGATTATGAAGAAGAAGAAGAACACTAAACACGAGCAGCATTAGAATATAATTACCTTTGTCTTTTGTAATCGGTAATATTTAGAGAGGTCATGGGATTGACTCTCTGTTGCTGTGTTTCTTGGATTCTTATGTAGTAATTAGTATCAATCCGTAGCTTTTTTATTTTGTTGTTTTGTTTTGTTTTTTTTTGGGTTGTTATGGTTTAAACATTTTCAGAGAAGTACCGATATTATTTCGGTACATAGTTTGATTTCTCTGAATGTTAATGTAGTTTCTATGTTATTTGAATGGTTATATTATATAACAAATGTATCTTCTTTTTTACCGGCTAGTCTAAAGTTTTTGTTAGATTCCATTGAAGTTTGCCTAAGATTACTAAGACTGTTGTCATATGTTCATCAGAACTGAAAGGATGTTGCTGACTAATTCAAAAGAATGAAGGTCACTCACTTTATGCTCATTGCCTCTTCTCAATTCTCACTAATATCTCCTGCCTGATTTCCCTTACTCGGAAATGTTCTCATGTCAGAAGATGATTTATTGCAGCCTTTTCTACCACCAAGTTTAAGTTCAATGATTGTTGCTTTTTCAGCCATAAGATGATCTTTGCTTAGATCGAAACATTCTAGAACAAAGACTAACTCAAATATGCATTGTGATAATATATGAACACCATTGCAAACTCAAGATCATAACAAATACAAATTATTTCTTCTCCACTGAATACAATTTGTGGCATAGGTTCAATTTTGAATCGCATAATCAAATCCATTTATAAGGTTCAGTTCCGGGAAGAGCTGGCGTTAATGCTCTGGAAGAGCTCGGGCATATGGGCATTAGTGAGTTTGGTTCTCTTGCTGATCTCTTGTTTCTTCTTCTTCTTCTTATCCTTCGATTTAGTCATTAATACGCCGTGCTTCTGATCAGCAGCTCTCCTCGCTGCAGTGTCTGTTGCCGGCTTCAAACCGTTCTTCCGCAGCTCCTTCTCCACCTCCAGCATGTCCTCCGGGACTTCTATGTCGCGGAACAGAGCTTTAAAGTCGTCATCAACCTTAATGTCACACTTGAAATCATTTGGATACGCAATCTCCTCTTGTGAATTTGATAGCAACCAGATGTCTTCTGAAGCTTTCAGCGCCTACAACAATACAACAATACAAGACAATCTTGAAAACTTCAAACTTCAAGAACCAAGATCCTACAACTTTTCACGCAGCAGGAAACACAATCTAAAACTAGGAACCGGTACGGTTTTTAGTCATACTCAAACGTAGATATAAGTTGTCTAATTGATTGTCTAGCCAAAAACCTAAGGATTCAAGGCGATCAATCTCTTAAGAATCTCATTTCTCATATGTCAAAAAGGTCATCTTTGTGTCGTACCTGCAAATCCTCCATGACATTTGGGTAAGCGTCTTTGAGATCAATGACTGCAATCCCATCAGGATATTTATTTATCAAGGAAAGAAGTTGCTTCTTGTCCTTGACATTGTGCTCAGCCTGTGACGGAAATTGTAAACACAAAAGATGAAACATTTTTTTCCCAATGAGAAAATGAGAAGAATCTCCACCTTGAATGGGGAATGTTATAGTTTATACCTTGTAAGAGAACCTTCTTCCATCGTAATGCGCTTTAGGGTTCTTCCTCATACTATCAAAAACAGCCTTGTTGGCAAGCATATCAACATAACACGCTTCATTGATTTGCTCTGGAGTAAAAGCTTCCCTTGTCTGCAAAGAAGTTAAATTAGTCAACTTTCATTCGAATGAAATATATATAAACGTCATATGAATGAAGAATACAAACCTTCATGAGAAGATCAATGACACGTTTCATTTGAGCTCCAACAGGAGCTTTCCTTATGCTGTTAATGAGCTGAAGCCGCTCTGTATCGCTTGAAAACTTGACAGGACCTCCTGCAGCAGCGAGAGGCTTCTGACTGATTGCAGCAGGCACGGGCCGCCTCGAAGAAGAAGAAGGCGGATGCGCCGCTCTTGAAGAAGCAATGCTCGAAAGCGTAGATTGACATTTCACTTGCTGCTTCTTGAAATTGTTTAGCTGCTCATTCAGAGACATCTGAAGTGTACCCAGAAAAGTAAATATATTTAGTGATGATTCCAAATGCAGAGACTACTGAATGTTGATCAAGTCATGATCCCGAAAACATAAGATGATGGGCACAAAATAACATCATCTCCAAAAGTAGAATGAAAATCAAACAAGGCCGATTCTGGAGAATAACTCAAAATCAGGGTTTCCAATTGACACAAACCTCGCAAGCGTGAGCTTTCAGAATATGATGAACTTAATCAAAAACTGTAGAGTAGTGATAAACAAGGCTGATCCTAGAGAGTCGTTAAAATTAGGGGTGGCGATTTTCAAAATCTAGGTTCCGCAACAATTCCGATTCCTCCGATCTTAGAACGAAAGCAACTAGGGTTTATCAATCAATACAAACCTTCCTTGGAGAAAGGATACAAATAACGGATTCGAAACGAATTCAGACGAGAGAGAGGGGGAGATCGGAGAAGAAGAAGCTTTGGTTTCTTAGCTTTCTCGACGAGAGAGAAACTGAGAGAAATGGGTTCGCGAATGTGTAATATATAGAGGGTAAAGCTGGTAAATTGTAGTAAGAAAATTTGACAAAGCCCAATTACTGGCCCAATAAAGCCGTGTTCTCAAGGCCCACTACCTTCGGATTCTTATGTCCAAGTCTCTTGTTGATTAAGCCGAGTATTTGAAGAAAAGGAGAGAAAGAGGCAACCCGCGAGGGTGAGAGAGAGGAAACGGAGTTCGAATCCTTAATTCGAATTCCAGTTCGTATTTGCCTGATTAAGTGGGTTTTCTTTGAAATTGGGATTGTTCCTTTGATTCTGACTTCTCTTTTGCTGCTCTTTTGGAACAAGTTTTCATCTCTCTGCTTTGCTCTATAGCTTATTTGTTGGCCTCTGAATCACTCAAAAACGTAACTTGCGCCCAGTTTTTAAGAACTAGCTCCTGACTTTTCCTTTTTTCTTTAGTGTGCTTCAGTTTCCCAAGCTTCTTGCTCTGCTTTCGTTTCTTGTTTCTGTTAACCTCTGCTCGTTACTTATCCGGTAATTGATTGCTCTGTTTTTTTAAGTAGTCTTCTGCTTCAATGGAGATATTATTCTAAAACACAAACCTTTCTAACCTATTGAGAATCTCATCATATACACCAATTTCCTCATAGGTTATTCATCTTCAAGTGTTTTGTGTAATATGATACATGTTTTTTTTTTTTAAATCTCAGTTTTGTCATGTTCCGGTATGTAAATATTTGCAAGACTAGATTCATTCTTTCGCCTTGTATATCCAAACATTGTTAAACAATATATATAACTCATTTACAGACTTGAAAACGTCGATTGTCAAAACATTTGTGGGACATATATATTCCATTGCCTCTCAAAGTGACTTTGATTGTTTGCAAATAATTTTTATGGGCTTAACCTTTCATATTAATAAGCCCAGGCCCATATTTAAATGCGCGCGCTACTTCTTCCATGGCGCCAAATCTGGTGAAGCTGAATTTCTCTCTCTGTTTGATCCGAATCTATTGGCTCTAAGTTTCGTGTGCACACCAAGTGTTCGATGAAATGTCTTACCGAAATTTCGTCCTGATTCGTTTACCTCACTAGTTGCCCGAGAGCCTTCTTACCGTCATCTCTCTGATTGGCGTTTAGGGTTTTTCGAAACCTTCAATCTTTTTTTCTCTCCTAGCTCTGATTTCGTGGGATTTTAAAGGTTAAATTCTGTCTTCTATGAGTTTGATACTGTACTTTGGGTCGGCTGATTTATGGTTCTTTAACCCTTAATTGAGACTTTTTTGTTGTTGGTATCAGAATCGTTGCATTGCGGTTTGCTAAAGCCTGAAGATGAACTCTACTGTTTGGTGGGAAGGAGCTGAGAAGACACGAGTTCTCATTGCCCCAGGTCTTCTCTTCTACTTCGATAGACTTTATCTATCCTTTTGTTGCTACGCATTCTGCGGTTATCGTTAACCCAAATGACGTAGGATTACGCAAAGATATGAAATATGTCTGGTCAGTGTTTACCAATGATTGAAAACGTTAGGTTTTGATTGATAAAACGAGCATTGGTTCTTATTCTCTAAGATTACTTAGACTTTTGTTCATCAGAACTGAAAGATTTTGCTCTCATTTGAATCCTTTATTGGCAATGCTAGTTGGAAATCTTTGATGCTTTTAGATAACGTGACCGTTCTTCGTTTCATCTGTAAAGATTCAGGTTGTGGCGGAAACGAACCCGGAGAACTGTTAACACTTTGCCATCCAAAATCAGGTAATGGGATGTAGATTATTGGCAGGCTTGCTATATAGTGTTGTAGGGAAAACTTCCAGTTAGTAACATCTTATGTGGTTTTGGTATCTTTGCTTAAATGGCAGAAAATGGAACATGCTACCTTTTTAATAATGGGATGCTTCAAGAGATTCAATGGTTTAAGCAGTCATATGGTTCTTGGTTCCTGGGAGACTATATTTCTCAAGGTAATGCCACTGTTGATTTTGGTAATGTAGATAAATGCTTACTTCCTAGTGATTTTGAGCCAGCATCAGTACAAAATTTATTTCCCTTATCTTCATGGTTGTTTTCTTGTTACAGATGGAAGCTTATATATGGCCACTCCAGTTGATCCTGTTTTCATCTTGTTGCCTATTTTCGACAAAGCAAGAATGAAGGTCACTCACTCTATGCTCCTTGTCTCTTCTCAGTTCACTATTATTCCATGTCTGATTTCCACTTCTCGGAAATTTAAAATCTCTTCCAAAATTGTCGGTCTATAGAAAGGTGAAGATCCTGGAAAGTTCAGGCAACTGGATGAGATTTTATATGTGGAAGGATATTCTGGATATCAACATTTATTGGCACTTGCAGAGAAGTGTATGGAAATCGTTTGTCAAACTCAAGGTAAATTGGTGCTCTATGGGTTCGGAAAAAAGTCGTTCTACATATACTTTAAACTCTTGGTGATGATCTCTAGATGTGCAATTTCCTCATATCTTTTTCTTCTCTTCTTCTAGAGGTTGGATCTATGAAGTTCTATCGGCTTGACAACTCGAAAGTCTTAGCTTGGTTGAGTTTTAAGGTATGCTCTTGTCAGAGGATGATTGATTTATTGCAGCCTTTTCTACCATCCAGTTGAAATTTTCGTGAAACCTTCTCCATTTGAAAGTGAATATTTGTCTAAATCACTACAAGAAGAGTGATTTCCCTTGTTGAAAATTTCGCGCACTGCATATGTTTCAGGAATGATACATGGTTACTGCCTATATGTCTTTTTTGCATACGGCCTGGTGAAAATTCTGGATTTGCAGCTTCTATAGAAAGCTTATTTCAATGCTGCATTCTATAATTCTTGTCTCTCTGTATGGATTTGAGGGAAAGATAATGCATGTTAGCTCTTATCTGTTTTATTCGTACACTGGAGGTGCCTGTACTTTAATGAACGCAGGTCTGCTGTTTAAAGAAGACTCTACCGGAATTAGACAAGAACTATGCAGCTCAAGATGAGCAACAAACATGTAAGTTGTAGAATGGAAATCATTTAACTTGTGTTTTTGATTCCAAAAATGGTAATCTCTATGAAGTGTTAGTGAACTTGGTGTATGTCTTTTCTTGAAGTTGACCCTTCAAAAGGTGATGTAATATGGCTTTTCACTGATATCGCCTTTAATCTGTACAGTGGTAGATGCCGTTTCGATTGTGGGAGAGTACTTGAAGACAGAGCCTTGGTTGAAGCTTCTCTATGATCATCTTGGGTACCTTTTTTTGTCAAAAATTTGAAATCCTTCTATCACTCAGCAAAAGAGATTTAACTCTTTTATAAAAGCTTTCATCATGTGTGGTTTCTTTTACAGGCTCGAGTTTGTTGATCCGACAATGAAAGAAACCAATGTGGAGAGTCTTCTAACTGTAGATGAGAATAACATGGCTTCCTCAAATTCATTTCAGGTGTGTGTGTGTGTTTATGCAAAAACTGTAAATAAGAGCTCTTAATTGCATATCTTTGTGTTACTAACTCTACTTGTTTATATTTGTTTAGGAGAAAGCAAATAAAAAGCCAGGAAAACCGACAAAGCAAGCAAAGTTAGAGACTGGATCAAAGAACATAAGGGATATGTTTTCAAGGGCTTGTAAGAAAAAATGCTAAACGATATCGGATATGTTTCCAACTATTTATGATTGTTTTTCCGGCTATCAGCTATTTGCTTAGCTAGCAAATTATGAACAAAGACCAACTCACGTAATTTGAATTTTAAATTTGTAGCTAGTGTTACTTATCAACTGAAATATGTATGACTAATTGGTTGATATAAGAACATGCTTATTATATATATCTCGACGCCACACAAGACAAAAATGGACAAAAAAGAAAAATGATAACGATAATAACAAATAGTCAAAAGAAAACAAAACTAAATAGTGACAATGAAAGTCACGACATTTCCTGTTTGTAATTTTATCTTCAACAGTTAGCTTTAATTGGTTGTATTTGTTTTACAAGTGGTCCATTTAATATTTTCAACACAAAAAAACACCTAATTTCTTCTCGATATCAATTTTCAAACAGAAATGTCTCACCAATTTATTATAATAAATATCAATTTTTTTTGTTTATTTTTGTTTAATGTACAATAAAAAGGATGAACATTTTTTTCTAAAAAAATATTTTTCATGAAAAATATATGTTCCATATTTTTCTTGAAAAAAATCATTTTCAAAAATAGTACACAAACAATTTTATTCTCTTACTTATATCATTTTAAATCTTTGAGCTACCTTTAGTTTTGTCAATACTCAACTCTGATAAAAATAATTTCTAGTGATGAAGATGAAGATATGCAGATAGATGATTGTTTAGATGTTTTCTGAAGCTTTCAGAGCCTACAGTAATACAAGACAACTGTCGCTGATTACCAATGTATATATGTCTCTAACCTACATTTGGTTTTATCAATACTCAACTCTGATAAAAATAATTTCTAGTAATGAAGATGAAAATGCAGATAGATGATTGTCTAGATGTCTTCTGAAGCTTTCAGAGCCTGCAATAATACAAGACAATCGCCATTGCTTGTACTTTGGGATGAAGATGCATATAGATGGTTTCGGATGGTGCTATTGGAAAGTTTATTTTGGGAGCGTGATGATGCTCATGGACGATGGATAATCAGATTGGAAAAGATATGTTTTGAAGGGCTTGTACAAAAAAAAACCTAAATCGCATTGGTTAAAATTATTAGATGGCAAGTAGCAATATATCTCTTCAACAAAAACCAACTCACATAATTTGAATATTAAATTTCTAACTAGTTTTGCATATTAACTGAAATATGTTTGACTGACTGGTTGATATAAAATCTGCTTATTTATATATATGAATTCACGCCACACAAGACAAAAATGGAACAATAAAGAATCCATGAAAACTATTGTAAACTCTCCGTTGAAATAAGTTCAGGTTTTTGAGGCTTATATAAAGGGATTTAATAGTATGTAATATTCATGCATGTGGTTTTCCATTGAAGATCTCGGGATGATCTTCAAGAAGATGTTTATTGGTGAGATTGGTTATCTTGCGGATCTTTCGTTCCTTCTTCTTATTCTCTGGTTTATTGATTAATACGCCGTGCTTCTGATCAGCAGCTCTCCTCGCTTTAGTGTCTGTTGCAGGCTTCAAACCGTTCTTCCGCAGAACATTCTCCACCTCCAGCATGTCCTCCGTGACTTTTAGGTCGTGGAACATAAAAATAAAACAGTGAGATGGAGAATACATGAAAAACCATTGTAAACTCTCCGCCGAGTTTCCTATGTAATATTCATTTACAAGTTTAAAAAGAAATCTGAAAATAAAGGTATCCATCTTAGATTTCGTCTAAATCCAACCAACCACATGCATGAATCAACCGCAACTAATTAAGTCAAAGGTTAAGAAAGGACTTTGCGGGAACTAAACCGGGAAGGTCATACATAAAGTTATCTGTTAAAGAGCTCAGGATGATCTAACACAAGATGTTCATTGGTGAGTTTGGTTCTCTTGCTGATCTCTTGTTTCTTCTTCTTCTTCTTATCCTTCAGTTTAGTCATTAATACGCCGTGCTTCTCTTCAGCAGCTCTCCTCGCTGCAGTGTCTGTCGCAGGCTTAAAACCATTCTTCCGCAGCTCCTTCTCCACCTCCAAAAAGTCATCCGGGACTTCCATGTCCCGGAACATAGCTTTAAATTCGTCATCAACCTTAATGTCGCACTTAAAATCGTTTGGATACGCAATCTCCTCTTGTGAGTTTGATAGCAACCAGATGTGCTTTCAGGGTCTGTTAGCAATAAATATGAGACAATTTTGAATACTTGCATTAAACCTGAGACAATCTTGAAAACTTGCACTAAACCTAAGGTGACCACTGCTTAAAAATCTCTTGTATGTAAAAAAAGGTCATCTTTGTGTCGTAAGCGTCATTGAGTTCAGTCACAGCAATGCCATCAGGATATTTATTTATCAAGGAGAGAAGCTCGCTCTTGTCCTTGACATTGTGCTTAGCCTGTGACGTCAAGAGAACAGAATTGTAATCACAAAACATGTATACATATATTTTTCCCAAAGAGAAAATGAGAAGAAACTAATCAAATCAATTTGTTGTAGTTTATCTTGTAAGAGAACCTTCTTCCATCGTAATGGGCTTTAGAGTTGTTCCTCATACTATCAAAAACAGCCTTGTTGGCAAGCATATCAACATAACACGCTTCATTGATTTGCTCTGGCGTGAAGGCTTGCCTTGTCTTCAAAGAAACAAGACAAAAAAAATCAACTTTCATTCGATTTTATATATAAAGCTCAAATGAAGAAGAAGACAAACGTCGCGGAGAAGATCAATGACAAGCTTCATTTGAGCTCCAACAGGATAGTTTCTTATGCTGTTAATGAGCTGAAGCCGCTTTGTATCGTCTGAAAACTTCTTGACCAGAGAAGCTCCATCAGCAGGAGGCTTCTGACTGGTTGCTGCAGGCACAGGCCGCCTCGAAGAAGAAGAAGACTGATGAGCCGCTCTTGAAGAAGCAATGCTCGAAAGCATTGATTGGTTTTTCACTTGCTGCTTCTTGAAATTGTTTAGCTGCTCATTTAGAGACATCTGAAGTGTACACAAGAAAAAAACCGATAATCCCCACAACAGTCAATATATATTAGGGCTTTCAATCGATTATGGAGAATTAGGGTTTCCAGAATTAATTAAGGGTGCGATTTTCAATATATAGGGTTCCACAGCAACAATAAATTTTGATTCCTCCGATCATAGAAGGAGAGCAACTAGGGTTTATCAATCGATACAAACCTTCCCCGATCGAAGAATAAGCGCTTTGATTTCTCTTTGCTTTTATCGACGAGAGGGTGTTGGAGTAATAATGTCAATCTCTTTATATAGAAACACGTTTTACTTTTCAGAATAAAAACACGCTTATTATTAATTTTTTCTTGCATGTAATTAATAAAATCAATACTACATCTTGGTTTACATTAGGGTTTCGCATTTTGCTTGGTTCAACCAAATATAAACCGGATGCCAATCCATTCTGTTAGAGGTTAGCTCAGATTCGAATTCAAAACCAGCCAAATCAAACGAGAATTGAGTTTAATTTAGTTCCTTAACTTTCGTCTACCATCGATACCGGGATAAAAAAAACCGAACCGGGTTAGACTGCTAGTTTGCTTCACGCGGTATTGTAAGGCTAAGAATTTTGGGTCTTACAAATCATAATTGAAGGGCTGGATAAGAATTTTGGGTCTTATAAAGCCCAATAGAGAGCCCAATAGAGAAGTAACCTTTTTCTTTTCTTTTCCTTTTTTTTTGGGTAATAATCTTTTTAAATTCGTTTGATTCTACCTTTCTTCACTTTTCAGATTCTTCCTCTCAAGTTAAGTCAAACAATTCTGTCACTTTTCTTTTAGGGTTTATTGATTGATAGCTCTGTTTCCTATTGCATTCCCCGGTTAGTTTCATTTATCATTTTGCCATTTATTCGATCCTTCTCTTTTCTTCAACTGAGATATTAGATGGGTTAAGCAGAAAACAGACGAATCGTTGCGAGTAATTTAACTGAATAGAGTTCTGACTTAATGAGACAAAGGAATAAGCTTTGCGTGTATACTAGTTTGTATCTGTAACTGGAACTCTCCACTTGACGGCTTGAGCTTGGTTTGAAACAATACTCTTCATAACCTGTCTCTTCCTCGATTGAAGATTCACTAAAGCACTTGTATAATTTGTTTAAATTGCCTTACCAATTTTGATTCTTGACACAGCCATGGAGTTAGAAAGCTTCAGGGTAGTTCTTACCCCCACAGTATTCTATATTCCCGGTTTCGTAACTGATGAAGAGCAAACTCAGCTCCTGAATCATGTAAAAATCTCCTCTCCAATTCTTTTGCATTTGACATCTTGACTTCGTTACTCTTTTACAATCAAGTACTCATTTTGCTGTACTGTTAAGATATATGGAGCATCTGGTTCCAAGTGGAAGACTTTAAAGAACAGAAGATTACAGAACTGGGGTGTGTGAGGAGACTTGTGTACACTTCCCTCATTACTTTGTTTTATTACATTGTTTGTTTGAATGTTTGAAGAAACGAAAAAAGTCTTGAGCTTTTTGGTTTATTCTGTAGGTGGTATGGTCCATGAAAAGGGTCTTGTTCCACAAGAGTGTAAGTAAGGATGAGAATAAATGCCCAATCGTTCTTTTGACAATCTAAATACTCAAGAGTATATGTAATATCTTTGGTTTTGTTTCAGTGCCTTCTTGGCTGACAAAGATTACAGCAAAAATTCGTGAAAGCTCGGGTCTTTTCCCTTCTGCTATCAATCATGTCCTCATCAATGAATATCATCCTGACCAAGGGATAATGGTACGTAATCTGTCTTCTCTGTGGTTCCTTTCTTATTCAGGGGTTAAAATCTTCTTACTTGAAAATGGTTTTATTCTCTGGTTTTAGTTTTATGTTAAAGTTAATGAGCAAGTTTTGTTACTTCCATGGTTGTTGTTTCCACAGCCACACCAAGATGGACCCGCTTATTTTCCTGTTGTAGCTATACTGTCTCTAGGCTCACCTGTAGTCATGGACTTCACTCCGCATTTAAGATTAAGATCAGGCAATGATGACATTTCCAGAGATCAAAGTCCCGGTGCAGAGAGTTGTGTGTCTGAGAGAGATAATCAACACTCATTTTCTGTTTTGATGATGCCTAGAAGCTTACTGATCTTCAAAGATGAAACATACTCAGGTAAATTCCTCATCTATGTAAATCTTTAAACCCATATCTTCAACAGTTTTAAACATCCAGTTTAATTCATATTATCCTATCTTGTTTTTAGATTTCCTCCACGGCATTAGCGATAGTCCAACACAATGCTACAAGCAGGTGCAATACAAAGCTCTTTTTCATAATTGGTACTAGTGACATTGGTGTAAACGACAGTGATTTTATTGTGGTTTCATGCTCAGGTCGTTAACGAAGCTGAAGCATTGGCTTACTCTGAGAATTCTAGTGAAGAGTCCAGGAAAAGCGGTGACAAGATTCTTCACAGAGACCAAACTCGAGTTTCACTTACTTGCCGTTTAGTGCCCAAAGTCCATAAGAATCTCTTCAGGTTGTAGAGACAACTTTGATAACGAAACAACTTGTAGTTTCCCTACTGAAATTAGTTTGTCTTGCCGTTTCTGACTGTGTATAAAAAAGGCACGATTTGTGACGTGGGAAATTGAAAACGACACGATTTGTGTTTGTGGAAACTTGAGGACAAAGAAGTTGCAACGGATAGGATTAAATATGAGCCCTTCATATTTTTTATTTCCCTGTGAAGAGATAACACACACTATATACAATCTCACTCTATCCCCAAATCTTCTTCTTCTCCAAATAATCCACTAAATTTCAAACCCTAGTGTTTCGATTTCTCCCTCTGCTCCAATCCGTCTTCCATGGCGATATCGGCTCCAGCCGCTTGTTCTTCCTCCTCTAGACTCATTTCTTCCTACTCTTCTCCTTCTCCTTCCCTCTGCCCCGCCGCTGTTTCCGCCATTTCCACCTCCGGTAAGCTCACAACCCTAAACCTCTCTTCCTCCTTCATCCCTTCATACTCATTGGCTAGCCTCTCCTCCACCACCGCCGCTTCCCAATCCACCCGCCGCTCCTTCACCGTCCGCGCCGCTCGCGGGAAGTTCGAGAGGAAGAAGCCTCATGTGAACATCGGCACGATTGGACACGTTGACCATGGGAAGACCACTTTGACCGCAGCTCTCACCATGGCTCTCGCTTCCATCGGATCCAGCGTCGCGAAAAAGTACGACGAAATCGACGCCGCGCCGGAGGAGAGAGCTCGTGGAATCACAATCAACACCGCCACGGTTGAGTACGAGACCGAGAATCGTCACTACGCTCACGTCGATTGCCCTGGTCACGCCGATTACGTCAAGAACATGATTACCGGAGCTGCTCAGATGGACGGAGCTATCCTCGTTGTCTCCGGCGCCGATGGTCCTATGCCGCAGACTAAAGAGCATATCCTTCTCGCTAAGCAGGTTGGTGTCCCCGACATGGTCGTCTTCCTCAACAAAGAGGATCAAGTAGATGACGCGGAGTTGCTAGAGCTCGTTGAGCTTGAGGTGCGTGAGCTTCTCTCGTCGTATGAATTTAACGGTGACGATATCCCGATTATCTCTGGCTCTGCACTTTTAGCTGTAGAGACACTCACTGCGAACCCTAGTGTGAAGAGAGGTGATAACAAATGGGTAGATAAGATTTACGAGCTCATGGATGCTGTTGATAGTTACATCCCAATCCCAACGAGACAGACTGAGTTGCCCTTCTTGTTAGCTGTTGAAGATGTGTTCTCCATCACCGGTCGTGGAACCGTAGCTACAGGGCGTGTCGAGAGAGGTACTGTTAAGGTAGGAGAGACTGTAGATTTAGTGGGTTTGAGGGAAACTAGGAACTACACAGTCACAGGGGTCGAGATGTTTCAGAAGATTCTTGATGAGGCTTTAGCTGGTGACAATGTAGGATTGTTGCTTAGGGGTATTCAAAAGGCTGATATTCAGAGAGGTATGGTTTTGGCTAAGCCAGGGTCGATTACTCCGCATACCAAGTTCGAGGCGATTGTGTATGTGTTGAAGAAAGAAGAAGGTGGAAGGCATTCTCCATTCTTTGCAGGTTACAGGCCTCAGTTCTACATGAGGACGACGGATGTGACGGGGAAAGTGACGAAGATTATGAACGACAAAGATGAAGAGTCGAAGATGGTTATGCCTGGTGATCGAGTCAAGATTGTTGTTGAGCTTATTGTGCCTGTTGCTTGTGAACAAGGGATGAGGTTTGCTATCAGAGAAGGAGGTAAGACTGTTGGTGCTGGTGTTATTCAGTCTATCATCGAATGATTGTAACAAGAGAATAAAAAAGTTGTTTTTTTAGAGAGTTTCACTTAGTGAGCATCTATCTGTTTGCTTTCTTTTTGTTTCCCTCTTAATTCACATTACTTCTTCTTTTTTGTGCCATTTTTCTATAAGAACTCGAAATCAAAATGTCATATATTTCTTGATTTTCTGACCCTCCAGATAATTTTTGCAATTATTGATTCGGCTTTGGGGTCTAAAGACCAATGCAGATTGTGAAACTTCATAAATTCCACTTTCATTTGAAAAGTGAGATGAAAAGTGATGGGGGTGGACATGAGATTTGATCTTTCGCTGATGAATTGTTTTATCTTCTCTAACTCTATAGTTATATATAATATTACTCCCATTTATATATACTTTCTTCCTTAACTTGATCTCTTTCTCTCTTGGTTCGAGGCTTTGATTTAGACCCGTGAAGATAAAAAAGATAGAAAGAGCCAAAAAGACACCTCAACGTCCAGTGGCACAGCTTGTCCGGATGAGATTTATTTGCAAAATTGTTGATGTAAAGTATATCTTTGATTTAAACTTGGGATCAGTTGATATTACACAGAATAGGAAGCTACTTTCTTTTAATGCATCATTATACCTACAAGTCTTTAAGTTTCCATATCTCTCAAATTCGTCGTAGCGAAGCCAATCTCCTCTCTAGTTCATCCACTTCAGTAGATTCCGAGCTGCAACAAGAGTTACAAATGTATGAAATGAATGAATTATCTATCCCAAATAATTTTTACTGATCAAAGTAAATAATTTGAACTCTTATGTTATGTACATACTCATTCTTTTCGCTCTTGTTATTGACTGTAGTGGGAGCAGTGGCTTTTGTTGCAATCCGGCCCTTTGGAGCTGAAGATAACTGTTTCGAAAAGAAGCAAGAAACAAGAATTTTAGTTTTAAACGATCACAAGAAATGAGAATACTTTCCATGACAAATTTAGCCTAGCCCTTTTAAGAAAAACCAACCTGAGATGCAACACCAACACCAATCTCATCGAGCACCTATAGTAGCGAGGGCAAATACAAGTGAATGAGAATAGATAGAGGAAGCTTGGAGAAAACTCTCACAAAGAGGTGTGAGTATGCTGCTTGCGATTGAAATTTGCAGTAACTAACCTGGTTTGTGAGATCTTCTGTTTCTTCCTCAGCTTCATCTTTGTCAAGTGTTTCATCAATTGCCTCTGACATCATCTCTATCTGCAAAACGAAAAACGCAAAACACAAAACAAACATGACACAGCCAATCTTCGAGATTACACCGGGACTTAAAAATGGTATAATGCTCTTAAAAATGAGTAGAGATATTGTTTACCGTCATGTCCAATTGTGCAGACTGCTTCTGAAACTCCTTGATCACTTTAGCTTGTTTTGTCGGTGCCATTTGCTGAAAGTGAGAAAGATATGGTCAAAGAAGTGAGAAAAACCCGCCAAAGTTTGCAAAGTGGGATTGTTACCTTGTTCATTGCAACCATAGCTGTGGTTGCACCTTTCATGCCAGATGAAATTGAGGTGCTTGCATACAAAGCCTATATGTTATCAAAACCAGCAAGCAAGGAAACATTGAATAAGTTGATATTGGTATGGAAGCATGCGAAGATGAATGGGGACATTAAGTAAGCTAACCTGTGTATGGGTGGTTACACCACGGATTTGAGCACGGCTTCCCTGCAAATTGGTGATCTGTTGTCTTAATCGAACAAGTTGTCGAGCTAAGATCTTCGTGGCCGCCTATGAAAAATGTTTTAAACATAACAGGATCATTAATGTAGATGAGAATAGTCTTGAGGAATTGAATGAACCAACAAGATAGTAAACACTAGAAACGAAGCTGTGAAGTAGCTAGCGATAGAATCCTCTGCAGGCTTAACAAATTAGTCACCAAAAAAATGAGGACGAAAATTTTGATCTCACAAGAATGGCTTTACCTCGTTTCCAGTCTTGGCTGTTTTCTTGATTTCTGCTACAAGCCTCCTCTCCTAATTGCATCAGTAAAACCGTCAGAAATAGTACTTCACAGCATCGTAGTGAACTAAAAAGCAAAAGAAAAGTTGGCAGATGTCATCTACCTCTAATTGAAGAGATGTAATCTCGCGTTCTATACCTGCAATAACATTGTAAACACACCAATTGACAATGCAAATAAACTTAGTTTTATGATTGGCAATCGCAAAGTTAGATGAAAACAAATACTAATTAGGACTTAGCTAGCAGCGCATGATGCAACTAAACTAGACAATACCAGCAAGAACCGATTCTTGCCTCTTTTCTAACGCTGATCCACTAAGATCCCAGAGAGCAAGCAAGCAGATGTGAGAATTGACGCTAGCAACAGAGACTGTACAGCACAAACTCGACGTAAATGCAAAAAAACAGCTTTAAGACTTCCATTTCCTACAGCGTTTTTTGACCAGCAAGATATAATCTGTTTATAGAAGTTACTTTTCAAAAGAGAAGTGCACATACCTCGCGTAGCCACAGCCATTTCTCTCTTGCTGGTGCGGAGAGCCTCTGCAAAAGAAATAAATTTCAATAGAATCAGAGCAGAACTATACGCATCTCTCTCTATTATGGAAACAACAACAACAAAAACACTTGATTAATCACACAACACTGTCAAATTTAAGCACAGCTAAATCTTAAAGGTGACAATTTTGCAGACTCCTTGTAGAAATCTAGACCCAACTACAAAAATCAAGCTTCAATAGCAATGAACATTTTCAATTTTGCCCTTGATTATCGGATTTTCGTGAGGATGCAAAGTAAAGCCGACAAACTAGTTTGTCATGAGGATACGAAAATCCGAAAATATTCAAGCTTTACCTTTGGGAGTGGTCTTCTTCTTGAAAATGTTCATGGCTATTGTCTTCTCTGAGATCAACTGAATGATCAAACCCCTAATCCTTGTATTTATTATGGTGACAAAACCCTAATTACGTGGAACTGTGGAAGTGAAGTTGATCGGCAGGTAAAGCTTGTCTGCAGAGAGAGAGAAGAGTGGAGAAAAAAGTGTCTCCTTTATGTTTCTTTCTCCTCTCTCAATCTTTTTTATTTTTTGAGTAAAAATGTTTTAAGTCATCAATTCAACGCAACGCCACTGTGGAGCTAAGCCGTTACACTTAGAGAGTGAAAATCGTCATAATGTTTTCTGAAAATGCATTTGGTCAACGTCTAATTTCTTTTGCTTTACTTTTTCTATATACAAATGTTCATATATTACTATGACCATAAGCCTAATAAAGCATATATGAATTCATACGAAGAAAACAGATTAACTAAAACTACAGAAAATAACGAAAACGATAAGAATACACCAATCGCACGCTAAAAAACGCGGACCATCTCGGTTTTGCCGCAACTCAAAGAGCTGGAGTTATCATCAAAGTTTAAACGACTTTGAATACATTTCTTTCCTCCCTCTCAATTATTACATTTTAAAGTACAAAGACGTCAACATCCATCACATTTATTCGCTTCCATTTTGCCGGTATTTTAAGATTCTTATTACAATGACGTATAGATACTTAACTAACTCATTAGTGTACATGCAACATACACATGGATTTAGTTAAAAAGAAGTAGGCATGCATCTACCTACGTTCTTCTTCCTCCACAGCCATTCTCTCTCTGACAGTTGAAGAATGAGACAGCCACCGGGTGACCAAGATTGTAGATCTCAGCGAACTCACGAGTGTTGAATTGTTGGCGCCACTCCGGTGCATAAACCGTTTGTCTTCCGAGTTGTCGGTACAATATTAGCACGAGACGGTGAATCCCTGAGGTGGGACGTGGATTCTCGTAGCACAACATCTCATTGCCTGAAGCAATCATCAAATGGCATATTAGATTAAAGCTTTAAATGGTTGTAACAGACGGACAAGACCGTTCTAGGTTTGAGGCCGATAAAACAGATCAACAGACTAATGTTTCTTTTGAGAAATTTGTTTACAGCGGACAAAACTTACTTTCCCATAGCTAATACTATTCAAATTCTAAGTTTGATGATTAATATTCATGTATGAGTTTTATCTATCTATATATGCACCTAATGAATTTTTAGAGTTAAATTAAACTCACCAAATGTAGTTCCAGTTGTGGCAGGTATATCAGTCACCAACCTGTAACGAGAGTACCCATTTAGTGCAACCAGATGATTAACTATTGCTACTTGAACAAAGCGTGCATAAAATATTTTTTTTGAAATTCTTTTAAATTATAGAAATGTAATAAGACAGAAAAAAAACATGTTGCGTGTGCTAGCTATGATATAACATGACACTCCAACGCAAAACTAACCCTGACCACAACAAAAGACATGTCCTGTACTTGTATATATAGAATCTAGTCTGTGTAATTCTAAAAGTACAGTTAAATGAATACATAAGACATTTAAAGTTAAAGCTGTTCTCTTAAAGTTGATTCGATATGCACCCCCTTAAATGTAGTGGATCTCTAAATTTCGAAGTCTCTTATATACTGTACATATAGATAAATATATATTCTATATATTAAATTAAGAAGTATGTACCTTTATATATATTTTAAGTAAAGTAAATTGAAATGAAGAGAGATGATACAAACCAATGGAGATATTCTCGGAGGTGAGGGTTGCTTAGACTCGGAAAATCTGGATCCACCATAACCTTCATTAATCCCAATAACACTAACCGTATAAGAAGATCGATTATGAAATATCATTAATCAAGAAAGCACGGGGGTTGTTTTTCTAAGTTTGAAAAATGATAACACAAGAAAGAATCAAAAGCTTAATTAAAGTTTTTTTGGTCAAAAAACAAAAAAGAAGAAGAAGCTTAAATTAGGAAAGAGGTAGTAGTTACATGTCCACAGTCCACACACTGGCTTGACTATCCTTGTTCAAACATTCGTTATAATATTCAATCAAGATATAACTACTTACTCAACCATCATTAGTTTTTCACACAAAAAACAGCTTGATAGACCAAAAAAAAAAAAAGGAAAAAAGGTCAGACTCGTAACTGAGAATTCCGTTAAAATAACGTGGATATATGCACAAGACATATGTAATTTGTTTGAATCAATAAAGAAAGAGGAAGTAGAAACCAAGGTGTAGAAATTTCTGAGGTCTTCTCCTCCTATCTCGACCGTTGGTTTGTTCAGAACTTGAGAAGGCCTTAGATCCAAACCATTAGTAACCTCTCTTTGGCCATAAGTAACCCTAAGAGAGACCAATCTCGTGAAAGGATCAAGAACATCTCCAATAACTCTTCCCACCACAAGAGGATCTCCTCTACTTAGAGACATGATATATCTTCGATCTCAAGTCTCTCCAAATGTTTTGCTTCTTACCGTATATAATTTTTATCAACCCTTTACCGCTGTTCCTCTATATATAATCTTTTGGGAATATTGCAATAATTAGCTCGTGAGTCACTGAAATGAAATCATTACCAGAGTCTTTTTCGTGTATTGTCTTCTTCGAGTCGAGAATATAAAAACTGGTTCGACGTGCGTAAATCACTTATTGTCTAACTATTCATACTTGTCCCTTTTTTTCTGTGTTTGTGGTATTCGGTTCCAAACCCACTATTCTAAACATAAATCATAATATTCCAGATTTTACATCATCCACAAATATTTGATCTATATATTTCCTTCAATCAACTACCTCTCTGGACTATATAGATACTATATGCATACATATTGTTTCTCCCTATAGAAACCAATGTTTCATTAATTACGACTAAAACGATTTATACATCAACTATAACTTTAACGTGTTTTTACTTTTATCAGTTAAACAAATTAATGAAATTTCACTAAACCAGTAATAATATAACTAAGAAATATACGGAAAACAAATTTACAAAACAAAAAAAAAGTACCAATAGTTCAGTGGCTGAAAAGTTCAGGTAATTAAGAAATCATGGTTGGAGTATTTTATTATGATTTCAGTTATGGCTTTGACTAATGACTACTATATAATAAACACTTGACAAAATATCCAATTTTTCACATATAACAAAAGGATTTTGAATGAACTATTGTAGATATTTGTTTAGGGTTTTGCAAATAGGTTCCTATCTTTGTAGATCCTCCCTAGCCCAATGAGTACTGGTTTATTATTCGGGACATTCGCAACAGATGTCTGTCGGTACACAGTTGGTTCAATCTGAAGCAAAATATCCAATCCAATTATTGGATCATTAGGTTTTATGTGGAATCATCTAAATATGTGAAGATTACCTACCATTGCAAGTTTAATTTGAAGAAAAAAAATTATAAAACATAATTTAAAAAGTAATAGAGAATATTTTATTGAACTGGGGGGTTTTGTATGCTAATCTAGAAATTCTATCCCAAAGCTAATATTAATCTATGAACTCCTCATTAGCAAAACTGTCTTTCCTGGGATATATATTAAGCAACGGAAGCATTCGAAGGACGATTTGAAACATTTTTGAAAATTTATTTATGAGTTAGTTATGTTGATAACACAAGCTGAAAATATTTAACTACTTTTGATTATATGATTGACGTAAACTTTATCCTATATTTTAGTTAGCAGAAGCCAACCGCACGTTGGACCGCCGTTTGGGACGATCAGATTATGAGCATAAGCACGTTTTAAGATCGCATATTACATATTCTGATTCAGACAACGTTTTGAGGTTTGACGAACAAAGGTGTCCTAACGCGTCAAGTAAAAAAATTTAATAATATAAAAATCTATTAAACAAAAGCGTAAATTACGAAAACACAGAGAGATAAATCCGGGTAAGAGATTTTGGGGGAGAGAGAGACAGGGAAAAATCAGAATCTATTGTCCATTTCCCAAATTTTGGATTGGCTTTGCATAATCGCTCTAGATTTCGCGGGTTTTGCAATCGATTCCCCTTCCATCTCCAATCGGTAAGATCGACCGCACAAATCTCTTATCCTTTCTATAATCTTCTTTGAGTTTGTTGTAATCTCGACACTGTTCTGTTTGTTCGTTTAATCCATTACAAAAATCTCTCTATTTGAGTTTGATATGGATGCAGAAGTTTTTGGCTTTGAATTGGGTTCGGGTTTCGGTTCAAAGCCAGCTCTTTTTCTTATCCATTTAGAGTTCTGGGAGAAATCAGGTGAATTTTTTTTTTTCTGTTAAGTTTCTTCATCTCTCATTTGCTTTAAGCATAAGTATTGTTTGGAATTGAGTATTGAGAAATGTTAGCAATTGTGTGATTGTGATTCTTGGATATAAAAAGAAGAAGCAGATATGCAGGACCAGCTCGTGTGTCATGGCTGTAGAAATACATTGCTCTATCCTAGAGGAGCTACGAACGTGCGTTGTGCGTTATGTAGCACTATCAACATGGTTCCTCTTCATCATCATCATCCTCATCCTCCTCCTCCTCACGGTATCGATTTTTCTTCCTTCTGTAATTTGCGGATTTTGTAGGTGATTTGAGTCTTTCAATAAGAATTGAGTAGGAGGTTAAAGTAAAAAGTTTTGAGACCTGTGCCATTATGACTTGGTTGGATCTGAAGGTCTGAACACAGCTAATGCAGGGGTTGACATGGCTCACATTATATGTGGTGGTTGTCGAACAATGCTTATGTATACGCGTGGGGCAAGTAGCGTAAGATGCTCTTGTTGTCAGACTGTCAACCTTGTGCCAGGTATGTATAATATCTAGAATTGTCTTTCACATCTTTGTTTGATCAGCATTCTTCTCTTGTGATGCTTGCATAACTTATGTGAAATCTGAAAAATGGAAGGTTTTAGATGATCTATGTGGCCTACATAGCTACTTGTTAGAGTTGAAAGGGTTCATTGAATTTCTTTTGATCTACCATTAGATTCTTCTATCTATTGCAGCTTAAGAACATTGGTGAATTGCTTTTCTTTCGTCAATATTTCTCTTGCTTCTTGGATTTTGCTTGTGTTAGTTGTGTTGGTTTGCTGACTTGACTTTTATGAAATCTATAGCACATAATCAGGTTGCGCATATCAATTGTGAGCATTGTCGGACGACACTCATGTATCCTTATGGTGCATCGTCTGTTAAATGCGCCGTATGTCAGTTCGTTACTAACGTTAACGTGAGTACTCCTATCTCTAAAGTCAATTCTGCATGGTTTAGTTAAATCTATTGGCATTTTGATTTGTCATTTGTTGTTGTTTATCTAAAGACGGGCAATGGAAGGGTGCCTCTCCCTACTAACCGGCCAAATGGAACAGCCTCTCCCGGGACAATGCCCTCTACATCCACTGTGAGTTATCAAAATTTTTGATTTTGTAATAACTCTGAAGATGCTAATGGATACAACTCTTCTTACTCTTTTCGTTGGTTTTTCATTTTTTCCAGCAGTCAACACCACCGTCTCAGACACAAACCGTCGTTGTAGAAAACCCCATGTCCGTTGATGAAAGTGGCAAGTTGGTGAGTTTTATATTACTAATCACTTGTGTTTCTTTGTTCTTCTTGTTTACTCATTAGAAAAGGATTTGACAAAGTGACTGAAAACACAAATTGCAGGTGAGTAACGTTGTGGTTGGAGTGACAACGGATAAAAAATAACCAAGAACGAGTGAGATCTGAAAGATCAAATCGAAGTTCTTCGTCTGGTTTGTGCATATTAATACATACGATGAAAATCTTTCTGTTTGTACATCTTTCGACTTCTTTTTAACCCAAGAATAAGGCTTATTCAGAATCTCTTTTTGGTTTTTTGTCTTTTACAAAGTTAAAGAACAAAAGAAAAGGGTTTTGCTCCGGCATTCTTTTGCTCCATGGAACTTTATTCTCTCTTCTGTTTCTAGACTTGTAAACTCCACTGCCTCTTGTGGCATTGTTCATTTATGTATTAATATAAATCTGACACACCAGCCAAACATTAAGGTTTGGGTTTGAAAAATATCTTTCTTCTATGAATAAGATTTGCTTCATGGGACAAGAACAGATCAAGAAACTGATCTTAGCTTTGGTAGATAAGACTTGTCTTAGAGCAAGTCTGGAAATCTGGATTATCTATCTTGCATTAATCTTTCCACAACAACCAAAACCTAATCAGTACCCTCCAAGAACATTAAAGTTAGATGATCAGAAAAAACTTCCCAACAATACCCAAAAAAAACCACCTCTTTGCATATAAATGCACTTTCCACACTGACACAGAGATTCATCACTTTTCTCTTGGTCACTCACTACATCAACAATGCCTGGAGAAAACATTCTGTTGGCTGGTGAGACCACAAAGAGCTGGAAACTACTTTTGGGGATGAGAATATTGGCATTCATGGCTACTTTAGCTGCAGCCATTGTAATGGCACTGAACAAAGAGACAAAGACCTTGGTTGTAGCCACCATTGGTACTATTCCTATTAAAGCCACTTTAACCGCTAAGTTTCAGCACACACCGGCTTTCGTGTAAGCCAATAAAACCCTATATTAAGAACTCGATTCAACACTTATGGAAATTGCAAAATGTTTTTGAGTTATTAGCTAACACTGATGACTTTTGGTGAAAAAAATGTATTACAGGTTCTTTGTTATAGCTAATGTAATGGTGAGCTTCCACAACTTGTTGATGATTGCTCTTCAGATTTTCAGCCGGAAACTGGAATACAAAGGTTTCCATATACTCTCCGTCGCCATTCTCGACATGGTATAAACTACACACTTTATCTACACACAAGTAAAATTGTCATATACGTACATAATTTACATGCATGCATATCTTCAAGTAAATATAATTTTATATTTTTCTCAAATGGAAATTGCAATTGGGTCGAAAGAGTCCGGTTTATTCCAGTTTTAAAACTTAAATATACGTATTGACTTGGTTTCTTTGATTGCTAAAAAATAAAACGTTTGGAAAAAGCTAAACGCAACTCTGGTATCTGCGGCTGCAAACTCAGCGGCATTCATGGCGGAGCTTGGGAAGAACGGGAACAAGCACGCCAAGTGGAACAAAATCTGTGACAGGTTCGCCACTTACTGCGATCATGGCGGCGGAGCACTCATCGCAGCTTTTGCCGGAGTCATTCTTATGCTCCTCATCTCTGTTGTCTCCATTTCCCGCCTCTTGATCAGTTCTAACAAATTCTCCACCGATGCTGCCTCTCCGTCTATTTAGCCGCCATCCCTAAAACATGTTGTAAAAATTCACCAATATGTATATATATATGTTGTGATTTAACTTTGCCTTGTCTCAAGTGACTATCCGATCCTCTTGTCTCTAGTGCACATTCACTGCACTGCACTGCTCTGTTTTGTCACTTTCATATGTAAATATATGACTTTTCATTTCTCACTTCTCTTTTATTTAATAAGCGATATTTTTATTTACAAATTAAACATATGACTAGTTGATTACCCGAATATTAATCATAATTTTTTATTAAAATATACAAGTATAATATATATAAATATAATTAAAAATATTAACTGATATTTATAGTTACAAATATATGCACTGATTATACAATTACAAATAATAGTTACAATTACATTTATTTTATAGTATAATTGCATAAATGCTAGATAATTGTTGGTTTTATAATTAACTATAATAATATCTTTTATATGAATAAAATTGCACATTTTAATATACTAAATTAGAGTAATACGTTCTATCTAATCGGTTCAACATCAGACTAAAATATTTAAATTTTAATAAAAAAAACTAATTATAATATGCATGAAAAAATTAGATTGTTTTATTAAATGGATAATATGAATTTTTTTAGCAAAATTAAGATCAAAGAAATATGATATAAAGAAATATAGTGTTTAGTAACCTAAGTAATATTATGTATTAATTTTTTTTATAAATTTGTTGTTAAGAAATAGAAATAGAAAGAATATCTTTATAAATTAAATGTTAAGTATTAAATATATAGTTGATATAATATAATTTCTAACCAAATTAATGCTAATGACAAATGATATAATTACTCTAATAAATCAAGCATTTTTTATATGTATTTTGAGAAGTTCTCTTATAATGACACATCAGCATGACACTTTTGTAAATCATACATGACATAAAGATCATTTTTAAATTGTCCTTCTCAAATAATAATAAAAGATTACATAAAAAAGAAGTCTAGAAAAATAATCAGAATAATTTCTTCTGAATTATAGATCTAATGCAACTTTATTTTATACTATTGAAACTTGAAAAATACGCATTCTTATGTCTCTAATAAATGTGAAATTAATCAGAAATATTGAAATGCTTTTTTATCCTATAAAGAAGTAAATTAAGGTTTACTAGAGTAAGATAAGTGACTGAATTAAAAGAATAATGATAACCATTTTTTTATTATTTTTAAGATTAATGTTAGTCTTTTTTTGTTTTCTTTCTAATTAGGTCATAAATGGATAAAAGATTGTTCTTTTATGTAGTTCTTGCATAAAATGATTAATCTCTATTTGGCAGCTTATTTTTTACCCTTTATATATTTCTTAGATTAGACTCTAAGATTGTTCCTTTGGTAATTGTTGCCCTAAGAACATCTCTGACCTAAATTCAAATCCTCAAATTTTGAAATTATTTTATTTTCAAAACACTCTCAAATATTCAAATTTTAAGGTTTTTTTTTTTAATTTCCTACCCATCTTCAAATTCTTAAATTTTGAGGTTTTTGAATAGTGAAATTTCAAATTTAAGATTTTACTATTCCAAACTTCAAAACACTTTTTTCTTTTCTTTTTATTTCTTATAATTCTGTATTTCTTACATAATATAAAATTAATTTCACATAAAAATAACATTACATTAAAAATAACATCACATTAAAGTCACACTACAATAACATATTTTACATGAAAGTTTTTGTTTAATGTATTTGTGTAATATTTTTTTTTTTAATTTATTTCATGTAATATTTTGTGTTTTCTAAAAGAAGAAAGAAAAGGAAAGAAAAAAAATCCTCATTCACAGATATTTAACGAAAGGTTTTTGAGATATACGTTACAAATATACATATATTCTGGTTATTACGAATTGCTTTTTCTTATGGTCCTCATCTCTGTTGTCTCCATTTCCCGACTCTTAATCAATTCTAAAAAATTCTCAACAGCTGCTGCTTCTCCGTCGTATCTCGTCGACGTCCCCTAAAACATGGTAGTCAAAATTCAGCAATATGTATACATATGTTGTGATTTACATTGTGTGTTGTTTCAAGTGACTATCTAATTCTCTAGTGCACAGACACTGCACTGCTCTGTTTTGTCACTTTCATATGTAAATATATGACTTTTCATTTCTCACTTCTCTTTTATTTAATAAGTGACATTTTTATTTACAAATTAAACATATAATTACATAGAAAATAAGTCTAGAAAAATAATCATAATAATTTCTACTTAATTATAGATCCCATACAATCATAAACAATCAGTCTAAAATATCAAATAGATTGTTTATGTGTAAATCAAAATTCACATAATAACAAAGTTTATAATTAACATTAGATCAATGTATACTTAATTAACGTGTACTCTTATTCTACTAATATACAAATTTTACTTAAAATATGATAACAATTTTTTGATTTAAAAAAATAAATAACAAAAAAAAATTATATCTAAACAAAAAAAAATAAATGCAACTTATATTAGAAATAAAAAATAAAACATTCTCGTGCGGACGAACGGGGTTAAAATCTAGTTTCTACTTAATTATAGATCGCATACAACTTTTTTTTTGTACTATTGAAACTTGAAAGATACACATTCTTATGTCTCTAATAAATGTGAAATTAATCAGAAATATTGAAATGCTTTTTTATCCTATAAAGAAGTAAACTAATGTTTACTAGATTAAGATAAGTGCCTGAATTAAAAGATTAATGATAATTATTTTATATTTTTATTTTATTTTTAAAATTATTGTTAATCTTTTTTTTTGGTTGGGTAATAGATGGATCAAAAATTGTTCTTTTCTATAGTTCCTACATAGAATGATTAATGTTTATTTCACGGTTATTTTCTTTACTCTTTATATATTTCTTAAATCGGATTCTAAGAATGGTCATTTAATAATTGTTGCTATAAGAACATTTCCAACTTTTTTTTTATTTTCAACTCACCGTCAAATTTTTAAATTTGAGATTTTGAATAGTAAAACTTCAAATTTGAAGTTTTACTATTCAAAATCTCAAAACAGTTTTTATTTTTTTTTTTATTTTTTTTAGTTCTTATAATTTTGTATGTTTTAGAAATAGTCTTATTAACTTTTTTTCTACTTTCATTTTGTATATAATTTTGTATTTTTCTATATTATTAAATAGTTAATTTTATAGTTTCAAATCAGATTATATCATATAAATTGACTAAAAAATAAAATTATTAATATAGAAAAATATTATATAACATTAAATTAATTTCACATAAAAATAATATTGCATTGAGAAACTTAAATTTATATTTAAAGTCACACTATAATAACAAATATTGTACAGAAAATATTTTGTTTAATGTATTTCATGTAGTATTTTCTGTAATATTTTGTTTTCTAAAAGGGAAAGAAAAGAAAATCATTCACAGATATTTAGATATACGTTACAAAAATTTTCAACTCAATTTGTCACTCTTCAAGAAAACTTTTCGGAATCTTGCCCCCTCGGCGAAGGTACACTCATCTTCCTCTTTAATGGCGTAGAGTTTACTTTGTGGCTTTTTAAGAGTCTTTTATCACTCGTTTGGGTACGAGTTGCTTTTTCTCTCTCTTGATGCGTTCTGGGTTTCTAGGGTTTCGAAACGGCACTGCATTTCAAGTGAGGTTTTCTTTTAACAGATCTTGCTTCTTTCTGAGGTCGCTGGTTAAAAGTATCGGGCTTTGTAAACCCTAATACTACAAGAAATGGACGGGCTTGTATCTGCAGCAGAGTCTATGGCTATGGAGGTTCTGTTCTTATCTTTTGCTTGGTTGATTGTGTTTTGCTTTTTCCCATTACCCTAATTTGCATGTGCGCTAGATTTGATCTGGGAAGACAATTCCCTCTTTCTGTATTACTGTTGCAGTTTCTGAATGTGGAATTGTGTATCTTACAGGAGGAGTCTGAGAAACCATCGATTGAAAGGGAAAGTAGCCTCGAACCTGACTCTAGTCCTCCTAGTCCGAAAGTAAGCAAATATGATTAATGTTTGTCTTCAGCTGATTATGGTTAGAGCAAGTATTGGGTAGGCAAATATGATGGATGTTTGAGCCTGAATCCAACCAATTCAAATTTCGACCAAATTCTTTGTTCTTGCATATCGGTATCTTCCTTTGCAAATATCATGTTTCTGAGTTTCTGAGACTGGTTCTTATTGATTTTTCTTGATATGTAGCAATCCAGTTACTTGGTTCTTGAGAATTTAGCAAAATCTCATCTGGTTAAGTAACGAGCTTATTGTAGTTTCTTTTACTTCCTATCAGTGTTTACCTGAATGATATTGTTTTCCTTTTGTTTTTGAGGTATCTGCTAAGTGGAATCCATCAGAAGCTTGCAGGCCCTCGGTTGATGATGCTCCCATATTCTATCCCACTAATGAGGTATTTCATAAATTTGATCTGCAGTTTTGGTTCTTTCTTGGTAATCTCTTCTGAAATTTTTCATCCTTACCGATGTTTCATGGTCAGGATTTCGAAGATCCACTTGCTTACATAGAGAAGTTGCGCACTAGAGCAGAATCATATGGCATATGTAGAATTGTGCCGCCTGTTGCATGGAGTCCTCCCTGCCCTCTGAAGGAAAAACAAATATGGGAGAAATCGAAATTCCCCACACGGATCCAGCTTATTGACTTGCTTCAGAATAGAGAACCAATCAAGAAGTCTACCAAAGGCAAGAAGCGTAAACGGAGAGGAATCCCTAAAACTGGATACACAAGAAGAAGAAGGGATTCAAGCTGTGATACTGATTCCTCTCAGGACGCTGAAGGAAAATTTGGTTTTCAGACTGGGCCAGAATTTACCCTGGAAGAATTTCAGAAGCATGATGAATTCTTTAAGGAGTCTTACTTTCAGGTAGAGGATCAACCTGGTTCCAGAGCGTCTGAAAAAAAGAAATTTAAACCCAAGGTAAAGGACATCGAAGGTGAATATTGGCGGATCGTTGAGCAAGCAACTGATGAAGTAGAGGTATGTATAGGCTACAGTATGATAACAGTTGTACTATTTCTGTCTTTCTTGGTTTCGTCATTTTCTTTTTCATGACTTCTTCTAAATTACTACTCTTGTTCTTATGACAGGTGTACTATGGAGCTGACTTGGAAACGAAGAAATTTGGAAGTGGGTTCCCAAAGCAATCACCAGGGTCTGCTAGAAGTTCTGAAGTAGAACAATACTCTAAACATGGTTGGAACCTAAACAATTTATCCCGTCTCCCCGGATCTGTTTTATCTTTTGAGAGCTGCGATATCTCAGGAGTTATTGTGCCATGGCTTTACGTTGGAATGTGCTTTTCAACTTTTTGCTGGGTAAGTTGCAGTTTTCTTTACGGTAGGGTCTTGTTAATTTATAGTTTTTTATGAATAATCTTGTGATTTTTCCTGGCTAAATGAGTTTTCCTAGATTTTAGTTTTTGTTACTTAAATATATAACAAAAACTCCTTTGGAACCAAAGTTATGGAATTGATGCATATGTCATGTGCTTTCTAGGATCTTTGTACTAACCTTCTGCAACCTGCCTCCTTACTTTGTTTGAAACAGCATGTTGAAGATCATCACTTATATTCCTTGAACTACTTGCACACGGGAGATCCAAAGGTTTGGTATGGGATCCCTGGAAACCATGCTGCGTCCTTTGAAAGCGCAATGAAAAAGCATCTTCCAGATTTGTTTGAAGAACAGCCTGACTTGCTACATCAACTGGTGAATTTTTTCACCTGATTTGCTGTTTCATTTCAAGCTTTGCTGATTAATTAGAACTCCGTGCTTGTGCAATTTTTGAGATAATCTGGCGAGAGCTGTCTTAAGATAATATGTATCTCATCTTGCACCTTCTATCTTTTATCAGGTCACTCAGTTATCTCCAAGTATCTTAAAAACGGAGGGAGTACCTGTCTATCGAGCTGTCCAGCGCAGTGGAGAATTCATCTTAACCTTCCCTAAGGCCTATCACTCTGGGTTTAATTGTGGTTTCAACTGTGCAGAAGCAGTAAATGTTGCACCAGTTGATTGGCTGGTTCATGGACAGAATGCAGTGGAAGGATATAGCCAGCAACGGCGAAAAAGCTCCTTGTCACATGACAAGCTGCTTCTTGGAGCAGCTCTGGAAGCTATCCATTCCCTCTGGGAGCTGGCAGTTTCAAGGAAGAAGACTGCTGCGATTGTGAGATGGAAAAAGGTTTGTGGTGAGGATGGATTGCTTACGAAGGCAGTCAAGGTGATTCTGATTCTATGTTTCTTTTTCTTGCATATGCATGCATGTACGAATGTATACTCAAACAACCATAGGCAATATGTTACATTTTCATAGATTGACAAATATCCTCTGTAGTAACTGAGGACTAGTCCTCCTGATTGTTGATAATATTGAATCAGCACCTTCAATGGTACTAATATAGCTAAGGTTAGCAGAAGCGGGTGGAGATGGAGGAAGAAAGACTAAAACACCTTCCGGATAGTTTTAGCTTGCTAAAGATGGAGGGGGATTTTGACATTAAGAGAGAACGAGAGTGCTTCTTGTGCTTCTATGATTTGCATATGTCTGCTTCAAGCTGCAAGTGTTCCCCCAACCGATTTTCATGTCTTAAACACGCTAAGGATCTGTGTTCATGTGAAAGCCAGGAAAGATTTGTCCTTCTTCGCCACACCATGGTTGAGTTACGGTCTCTGGTCAGAGCTCTAGAAGGGGATCTCGATGCCATAGAAGCATGGGCACGTAAAGGCGGTGACCAATATCCTTTACAGCATCCAAGAGCAAAAGAAGCCTTTGACCTCAAGGGTACCTCTTGTTCAAAGAGTCATGGTTCATCAAAAGCACAGCACCGAGACCAAAACAATCTTCAGTTAGGCTCTGAAGGCTTACAAAGTGATCTAGTCGTAAACAAGGACGTTCAGTTGAAACAAGATGCTGATCAAGATGTACATGGAATCACCAGTAAGTCAGCTGTCACTGATGTAGACCTTGCTGAGATAGTTAAGTTTGATGAGGAGAAGATTTCGGTTGAGTCTCAAAACCCACATTCTGTTTTAGATGTAGGGTGTAGCGAGCCGGCGAAGAAACGTGATGGTTGTTTAGAAGGGAAGGACCAAGATGCTGCAACCAATAGGTTAAGTCACTCTGTTGAGCTTTTGAAGTCTGGATCTCTCGTTGTTAAAAAGCTGTGGTGCAGTAAGCAAGCCATATACCCAAAAGGTGAGATAAATTGAGGATTTCAGATGAGCTTTTGTACTTTAGCATTGTTTATGCCTTTAAAGACTTTGGCTTTTGATTGTGTGTTTTCAGGATTCAAGAGCCGTGTTAAGTTCTTAAGCGTGCTTGATCCAACAAAACTAACAAACTACATCTCAGAGGTTCTGGATGCAGGGCTTCTTGGTCCATTGTTCAGGGTAGGGTACCCTTATCACGTTGTGTTTTCAAGAATATTGACTAAAATCTGTTTGAACCAATGAGAGTGGTGAAACCACGACACTGCTGAATCCTGCTGATCTGTTGTTATATATTTTTCAGGTCTCGCTAGAAGAATGCCCCGGCGAGAATTTCTCGAATGTATCAGCTGAGAAGTGCTGGGAAATGGTGATACAAAGACTCAAACTCGAAATCATCAAGAGGTGTGGTGATCAACCAGTTAGCTCTTTGACCTCTTTACAGCCTTTGGAGAGTATTAATGGGCTTGCGATGTTTGGATTTCTCTCCCCGCACGTTATTGAGGTAAAATTGTTAAGCTCTCATAATTACCCCATAAATCAGTTTTCTTAAGCTTCTTCTGGTGATAGATTCATCCTTTTTATGTCTGCTGGGTGAGAAGCTCGAAACTTCTGTTTCATTACCCTTGAGCATCTTCCTTGCTCGTTTGCATGACCATCGTTACATGTTTTCTCTGCCAGCGTTCTGAACTAAAAGTTAACTTTGCGCACAGGTGGTCGAGGCTCTTGATCCAAAGCATCAGTTGGAGGAGTATTGGAACCAGAAAACAGCGAAAGTGTTTGGTTTTGAACTAACAAAGGAAGAAAAGGAGATTACAGAGAAAGGAGGGGCTTCAGATCCCTCTATGGACCGGGACACAAGGCTTCTGCGTGGACTGTTGAAAAAGGCGACACCGGAAGAGCTTGCAATGATGCATGGACTTCTGTGTGGTGAGACACGCAACACCGAGATTCAGGAAGAGCTCTCTTCTTTGGTGGATAAGATGGAGAAAAGTCCTTGATGATGAGAAAGCAGGCACATACACCCTATTTGAAGTTGACTGTGTTGTTCCTTCGGTGTGTGTTCAAGCTTCAGTCATTCTGTTGTATTAGTGAAGAAAAACCTAGATAGGTAATACAAAAGTAGACAAAAGGTTACTTTGTTTAGGATTGTTGATTGTACTGCATTTACTGTGTACCATTGTTCTCCATCTTATTTGCTTGTACCAGCTTTAATTGAAGATAATGAAAATGCTTCTGTGACTAGTAGACGATTTCAGTCGAAAACCAGATTGAAATTTGGAAATAATTGTATCATCTTCATTTTCAAATGACGAAGTTAACCAGCGTAGATTAAACATGTATGAGCAGAAAATGTTAACCAAAGAAAAACAACAGACTTCAGAGTATTTGTTTGGGTTTTTAGTAGAGGAGAAACAAGCACAAATTCAGAGCCTTTATAAATCAATCATTCACACAAAGAGGGTTTGGACTAAAATAAAATGAAAATTTTAAAAGTGTGGCTTGAAAATAACCCAAGTATAAGATTCTGTGTCTGTACAAAGAGGAGAATCTTTAAGTGAGATCATCCTCGTCGAGATCTTCACCAGTGTTCATCTGAACTGCAGTAACATCTCCAGTGGGTAGCTTTCTAGCCAACTTGATGATCTGCACACAAATACTTCTCCATTAGATTCCGGTCGTTTAATGAAAGCTTTCTTTGATCTTCTGGTTTAACAGTAACCAAGAAATGCATAACAAATCCATTCAGAAACAGAAAGACGGGATTATGATTAGACTTAGGCAGGTAATTTAAATGAATTACCGCGTGATCCAAATTCGAGACAGTGCTTGAACTCGCCACCTTCTTGATTTCTTCAGTGTCACCTTCATTATAGGCTGTGAGCAGTCTACTAGCACTTCGGTTCTGATCACTCTTCAGAAAAGCATCAATCCTACCCAAAAATAAATAATTTCAGACATTTGACTTGATTATTCATGTTTTTCTTGTTTGTTGTAACATATATAGTGACTGCACAAAGAGAGAAGAGTATACTCACTGAGAACAGTCATTGTAGCATTTTTCTGCCTGCTTCAGGTCATGAGCATACAGATATACAATGATTGCACTAAGATAGGCCTAAAATAAAAAGGAAAAACAGCTAACTCGTAAAAATAGCATTCAGGGATACAAGAGAAACGATCTGAGTTACTCCGAGCGCAATGGTGTCGAACAGCGATGGAACCAGGTACCACTACAGCCAGAACTCATACTCATACCTTACACTGGCTATTTGTTGCGTCGCACTTATCAGCAGCTACACCCAATCTTAAGAAAAAGGTTGCAGCATCTGTGAACCTACAAATTTTAATGTATACCAGTTATTTTCTATATCAGATAGATGGATGAAAATATTCCATTATACTGCTACGAACTGATAATGCATCCATGCACAATGAAACTTTAACCTCGTGTGATTTCTTAAAGAATTCATGAACTTACTTCTCAAGCTTTATGTAGACATTAGCACAAGCACGGTAGAGATCAAAGGCCATTTGGTCCCTCCCATCCTCTTCAAGAATTTCACAAGCATCAGTGTATAGTTGGATGGCGTCATCAGGTTTGACATCTTCCAAAGCACTGAGACATAAATTATGGAAGATGAAACAAAGAAAAAGAAAAGTAGCTAGCTAGAGAAGTCACACTCAGAAACACATAAAGATGTCAACATAGAATTACCGGGCAGCCTTTCCAAGAGCATCTGATGCGGGTTGTGCCCTTCCACACTCAACATACAGCTCAGACGCCTTTCTATAAAAATCAGAAACTTCATTCCAGATACTTAGCTTCTGTGCTAGGGCAGCAGCAGACTCCATATGCTTTGCAGCATCCCAGGGACTAGTAAATATCAAGGATAACACTAAATAGGATGATATGTTCATACAGCATATTCGCAACAGATATTAATCTAAAAGGGTAATTTTGGATACGAAGATTGCATCTCTTGTCCTTTTGAAGCTTTCTCCAGAGCCACTTTAGCTTTCTCATATTTGTTTGATGCCCTAAACCCATTTGCTGTCATTTATCGATGAAAAGAGTTACAAGAACAGAATCAGATTTCATTTCCTCAAGAAAAGAATTTTCCATGCTTATAATACGTCTAGTCCCAAAGCTTTAGCATTCGGAGAAAAAAAAAGAAAAACCTAATACTTAGATTCTGCCATAGAGGAAACTACATAGTATCACCCACCTGCCTGCTCATACAACTCAGTAGCACCTCTCCAATCAGCACTCCATCTAGTAAGCGTGAGTTTTGTCCTGTGAAAAATGAAGAACCAAAGATGTTTAAACGGATGACTAAGAACAGAACGAGGTCACTGAAATGTAGGAGCTGAAACCAAAACACCATTTGAAAACAAAACGATGTTCCATATCAAATCAATCCAAAATGATTTCTCAACCCTAGTCAAACTAAGGAAATTATACGTTGCCTACTTGTTATCAAGTTTTAAAGCTAATACAATAGCATTTGCAGTTTCAGGATATATCTAGAAAACAATTAGTAATTCGGAGGAATTTGCAAAGGCCTACTCATTTGAAAATTAGTAAACTTAAGGAAGTGTTCGTAAACTTAAAGCAAACTCAGATTAAGCTGTTCCTACGCAACAATACACGAGATCCTAGATTCTTCTCTTTTTTCCAACAAAACCAATCAAGGCGTGAAAATGGATCACGAGAAGTTTCTTTCTCGATCACTGTTACAAAAGAACCCCATCATATCTTACGAGCACAATGATCGAGCTCAATTAACCAAAAAATGCCCTAAAACCCAATTCGAATGATTGTTCCACCTTTCATTAACCTCGGCAAAGACATTCTAATATATGGAGCGAGAAGAGGAAGAAAGCATACATTTTGTCGGCTTTGGACATCAATTTTTCAGGATCCGAAGACATGACTGGCTCAAATTCAGTAAAAGTCCCCGGCGATCTAGCAAACTCGGAGATCGATCTGCAAATTTAGAATCGCTCCACTATCTGATCAAATGTGTTTTGGCAAAAGATCTTCTATTTTTAGTTATAAATAATTCGACTTTATCTTCCACACTTAAAATAAAATAAAAAGGTTTCATTTTTTTTTTTTTTTTACACCAAGAATATTCTCTGATTCAAACAAACACCAAACCAAAAACATACATCATTACTTTAGAATGTTGAGATTTACACCATTTCCAGATTTATTTTCCCTGTGAGATTCAGATTCTATATCGCATAATTTATGAATAGTAACAACTTTGTTAAACCCACAAAAATAATAACTTTATACCAAAATCAACTTATATCTCACCTTCTCTGGTTCCTTTGGTCAAGCTCATGACAATAAGCATGATTCTGGAAACAAAGATTTAGGTAAGAAGTAGAAATCCAACGTTTCCATCTACATAACTCCACTCTATAAATTACAACACCATTGACTCCAAACATCATCAAACAAACACCATCACAAGCCTTCTCTAATAAAAGTCTAAGTACACAAAAACAAGTCAGCTACAATGTCGATGTCAAAAGTTTATCTCTGCCTAATCTTTCTCACCTTCCTCACTTCCCCACCTGTGCTCTGCTCTCGTAGCCCAAAACTCGTAGCAGCACCAGCCGCAATGGACAAAAATCTCGAGAAAACACATGTTCATCCACCAGCATTGCTTGTTTCTGAATCCAACAAGGTTGATTCACCATCCTCCATGTCCAAGATTGATGATGAGCCTGCAACAAGCTCTGCCATTGCCGGCTTTTTCAGGTATAGATTCCCATTCCAAGGCTGGCCTTTCCACAAGTATGCTCCTTTCCCGCCTGCAAATCCTTCTGTTCCTACAACACCGGCTACTGGAGCTGAGGAAGAGGAATCTGAGAAGGTGCCTTCTTCGCCAAGCAAAGGAAACAGAGATGGAAGCAACCCGTGATGAATGGAAACAAGAAATTGCACTTAACTACTAAAATCTTATTGTGTTTAATGACTGTTTGAATCTTTATCTTCTAGTTTTACATATTGTATCAAATAAAATGTACCATGTATGTGACATTTTACATGGAAAAATGAAATGAATACAATTTATCTTATCTACCATGTACTATAAATGATGTGTGACATTTTACATGGATAATGAAATGAATACAATTTATCTTAATCTAGCAAGCTCTGAATAATACCGGGCTCTCAGGTTCATCCTTTTGAGGCGATTTTGACTATGACAGACACAGGAATATGAACAGTGTGCCCTGTGTTTCCAAACAGCATGATTCTCCCAAAACTGGCAATAGAGCTGTTCTTCTTTGCTTTGAGGACTACACTAAGTAGCTTTGTCTCTCCACTGGCTATAGAAAATTGATTAGGAGTTACCTTCATCAAAACATCAAAAGGAGGAGTCAAACCAACACTATAGGTCTCATTTCCAGCAATGTTTGTCATTAGTCTTTGGACAGTTCGCGTGTTATTAAGCCTCGAGACTGTGATGGATGGCAAATTAAGGTCAGATCCGCTGATTGTTGCATTTCTAAGCATACAATTCTTGCCGGTGTAGTTGAATACCACTGGAGCTGATCCATTGATCCCACAAAGAAATGACATATAGTCTTCAAAACCTGCATAGAGAAAGAAAGAAAGAACCGTTAAAAATGGTTAACATTTGGTTATATGATCATGTAGAAAACCGCCGTTTCAAATCCAAACTTTGGCAAAATGTCCCGGATATTGCTTTGACTTGCCCCTGTGAAATATCATTAGTATCAAGTTTTGCTAACTCACCAGTATCAAAGATTAGTCCCGGATCCAAAGCAGCGGTTGCATTCACAAAGCCATTCCCCATATCAAATGGGATTGCAGGAGACAGGGTTTGATCAGGATTAGCATAAGCACGCTGAGCCATTATTGCCTCGCCTTTGTTGTCAAATAGAACAGAGGTTGTTGAAAGTGCAGATGCAATGGCTGAAGGACTAAAATTTCTGAATTTATGCTTGATCAATGCAGCCACACCAGCTACATGAGGAGCAGCCATGCTCGTACCAGACATCATAGCAAAACTCTCCCCTAAAAAGACCAGAAAGAACACAACAGCTTAAATGACAAAGCCATTAACTTTAAACAATGTTCATGCTTTGGAGATATTTATATACCTTCAAACTCAGCTGAATCTGTAGCAGCGGAACTCCAAGCACCCCAAATGGAATTTCCAGGAGCTACAAGATTTGGTTTCAAAATGTCGGCGTCGTTGAAAAGATTGTCTTCTGGATCAGGTCCTCTTGCTGAGTAATACATAATCTTGGGAGCTCTGTTACTAAAGTTAGCATTTTGTCCACCTGCAATGGCTGCAACTGCCCCAAATCTAACAATCTCCTTGGTGGTTCCATCTCTTTCAAGTGAAGAGTTATAGTACTTGAGTAAAACCTATTTATGAGTTGCACATCGTTGTTAGAAAGAATCAAGAGAAGAAGTGATATGTTTCTGGCTATATTCTCACCTTGGAATCTTCTGAAGATGGAATTATGATGCCAGGCATATCCATTGGTGTAGGATTGATCTGAAAGCCAAGAACATATGGATCCAAGTAGAACACAGCACCCTTTGCAGATAGATTCTTGGCAACAGCTAAAGCCTGTTTAATACTGGAAAGTCCGAGCACGAAACGGATAGAGTAGCTGCATATCAGGAGATTCCCAAACACAAGATTCTTATCCAAGCTGTCAGATTCTTGGCATTCACCTACATACATGTCTTTGTCTGCTACAGAGCTTTTGTTTTTCAATGCATCAACAGCAGAGATCATTGTGTACATCTTGCTTTCATCTGTAGGAACTAGAAGAAAGAAAACAAAACCAAAATTCAAAGCTAAGCCATCTACAAACTAGCTTATGATTTGAAATGGAAATATAAAAAACTTACGTGCAAGTCCTACTCCAGGAATGGATGCATTGTTGCCTAAGATTATCGAATTAGAGTAAACCCGATCGTGAGTAGCAGCACCAACTGTGAAGATCCATGGACTGAAGGAGGACATGCTCTTAGGAGAAGGACCTGTGTTTCCTGCAGCTTGCACAACGAATATACCGGCCTTAACAGCGGATAGCATAGCCATGTCTAGAGGGTTAAAAAACGTGGCTACACCAGGAGGACGTCGGTTAGGTGTGATGGATAGACTTAATATGTCAACTCCATCTTGAGCTGCCTAACCAAATTCATAAACCACTGAAAAGTGTCATAGAAGATCCATTCTTATAGTCAATTGAAACGAAAAAGGTAAATGCTTTACCTGGTCTATAGCAGCAACAACATCTGCAGCAAATCCCCCAAAACTCTTATACAATGCCTTGTAAACAGAAATGCTGGTACATACCAAACACACATAATTAGTACTGTCAATGCAACATGAATGATAAAAGATGGTCTTAGCAAAAACCATTTGCAACTGATGTTTGATTAAGATCCGTATACTTACTGTGCACGAGGAGCGATTCCACTAGCATTTCCAAAGTTATGTCCAGAAACTACTGCTGAGACCCCATGGTTACCAGCTGCAATGGAAGCTGTGTGCCTGTTTCATCAAGATACCAATCTGCAGCCTTTAATATGTGAAAAAAGATTCCAATGATTCAACAATATTAAACTTACGTGCCATGGCCATCTCCATCAAAAGGAGAAGCATAGTCCTCAGATGAATTGAAAATCCCTCTAGTAATAGCTGACTGCGCGAAATGGCGGGCTCCAACAAGCTTCCTATTGCAAGAACCCGATGGAAAATCCGGTGTGACTTCACAAACACCTGAGAAATGATTAGGGATCGGATACTGGCGCTGGGAAGTGTCAGTGCCATTGAAACTAGGGTGAGTTGGATCAATGCCAGTGTCGATAAAACCGATAACTATTCCTTCTCCAGCACTTTCATATCCACCTTCTTTGACCCATGCACCGTTTGGTAGACCCATGAACTGAGGTGTATAAGTTGTAGCCGTCCTAACAGAGAAATCCAACACTATGTTTGCTACTTCTCTTCTCCTTGAGAGCTTCTCAGCCTTTTTGGAAGCAAATAAGATAAAAAAAAAAAAGAAGTTTTAAATGAAGATAACAAACATAGTATAAGCTCATGGAGATATGGTATGATCAAGAATTCAAGATTATATACCTGTTGTGAGCTAACAAACACAGCAAACCCATTGATGAGATAATGGAAGCTATAAAGCTTTATATACTTCTCTCCTTTCAATACATTTCTCAGCAAAGAGTCATGAGCTTGAGCAATTGATGATCCCCTTGATCTCCAATTTGAGATGTTCCTATAACCAGAGAACCAAAATCAATACCAATAAAAGAATATTTGCAGCAAAAGAGTGAATCTTTATATGCAAAACCCAATTTTTGGTGCTTTTCAAAAGCATGGAAGTTAAGAGAATCATACAATGCATGTACCTAAAAGTGAACTCTTTCTGATTCAGTGGTTGAGTCATTAACAAAAACCTGAAATTTGAAGATTCCAAAGCAAAATTCAATTACCTAGGCTGGAGTTTTGGTCTAGTAAACCTTGAAGTGTCTCCATGTTTGGATCCTTGGTGGTGCTTATCTTTGACCCTTTTCATTTCTTCTTGTTGTTGGAAAAGATGAAGAGTAGGAGCTTGTCTCAGAGTAACAATGTAAACAGTCGTAGTAGAGTTTACATCAGAATCATCATTATCTTGGCCTAAGGTAAAACAGAACAAAAAACCAAAACAGAGCAGAAAAACCCCAAAATTCACCATTAAAACTCTCCTCATTTTTTCACTCACTGATAAGAGACTGCAAAAACCCCACCAAATTGCTTAAATAAGAAGAGGAAAAGAGAAAACTGCAAAAGAAGAAAAAAGAATCATGAAGCAAACATGGTGGTAATAAGTGGAATCTGCAGAATAAAAGGAGCTGCCTTTTATTTTTTTTCGTGTTGGAGACGGTGAAAGAGTAGCAATATGGATATTATATAGTTATTATTATATACACAATATGGATATTTTTAGCAGAAAGAAAAACCCAAAACTCACGAGAATCTGAAACCTTTTTTTCTCTTGGATTCTGTGAATATTTTTGAACGTTTTAACTACACTACAGGGTCCCAGAATGAGACTATGAGAGGCAAAGAAAAGGACGAGTACAGTGTTATTGAAAAAAAACAGAATTTTGCAAAATTTAGCTGTTGGAACTTGTCGGGTTGGACTTTTTATCTTCTTATTCGTTTTTTTCACTTGATTAAAAGTTCCGAAGATAACTCAAATTCACAAATGTCACTGAAATTTTTAAAAGAAAAAAAATTTTATAATAAATATGCGATCTTTTCTAGACTTTGATTAGATAAATAACCTTGTCAAAGTCCATAAAAACAAATAGTCTAATAGAATATAGAACTCGAATTCGTTACAAGTATCATTCCGATTAATAAATAAACAATAGCAACTAACGATTATATATGTTAATATGATTAAAGTCATAGCAGCTTTCTTCTATTGTATGGTGTTTTAAAATTAAAAAGCTGAGATTTAGCAATGGTGGGTCAAACGTGAAGAATCATTAGGAGTGTTAATGGGTCACACCGTTTTTTTTTTTACTTTTGGATTCTTTTCCTACTTTTTTTCTATCTATTTTGTCCTTCAACGGCACAATTCTTATAAGAATGAGAGCAATTCTCTTTTCGTTATATTTTGTGTGTGAATAATTCTACAAATGTCGTCACTGAAGATAACGCAATGCTATTATGTATACAAATCGAAATTCAACCAAATACTGAATGCTTAGACATGTTATTTACTTTGGGGTATATCATACATATTATTCATCTTTACATTAACGTTCATATGGTTTTGAATCTTCTGATTACGAATTTCATTATAAACCCGCCTTTTACTTATCACCCCCAATCTTAATCATTCGTCCGAACCCAAAAATAAACATTTTACAAAGCCCTCTACTTTGCCCATTGCAGATTTACGGTTGTGAATGCAGCTAAGACCTTTTTGCTTAAAGCGTGACGAAGTAGTCAATAGGTATTACTTAGGCATGCAAATCAAACACAACACCGAACTAAAAGAACAAAAACCGCAAAAGCTCTAGTGAGAAAGAAAGTTAAAAAAACTCAAGTAATCAGCTCACAAATTTGATTAATTCCCCAAGAGTAAGTTGCCGAAGATGATGAAGAGACAAGACTCCTACATTACAACCGAGACAAAAACTGTTTCTTTAGCAAGAGCTTTCAAACAGAGAGTGACTTTATATCCAAATTCATAAGCATGACATAAAAGGTAAATGCGAATATTCCAGACTTTCATCTTCTGATGCATCCACAAGTTCTTCATCCACAAAAAGCTGATTGTGTTCACCACAACTCCCTAAACAAGTTTTCAGTTTTACCTAAACAAGGACCAGAGAGGTAATTAAGCGTCATTAACCAATTTATCTCTTCTTCGTATAAGACTCAGATGTGATCACTAATGGCGACCAAGTTCTGATTAGTTTCTAAGAGGACGTTAAATTTCTCAAAATGGCGCAAGAATGTTGCTGTTTCAACCTTAAAAAGACTTAATCACTGTACAGCAATCATAAAGTTTTAGATGTTTCACGTTGAACATAAATATTCAGGTGCAAAATAAGAAGAAGATAACCAGGTTTACTGAAATCCTTCTTTCAAAGAAACACAAGAAGATAATGCAAAGACAATCACTCGTCAACAAATCTACAAACTCTGCAAAGCTAAGATAGAACAGAAATTCGGCCAAGTTATGAAAGGCAACATGAAAGCACGACATTGTAACCTGAGGATAAGTCGAATCAAACAACTTAATAATGCCTTCACAATCTCAAAGAAACAGCAGAAAAAAACAGTAAAAGCCGAGACAAAAGGCAACCTCATAGCTAACCTAATCACTGCTGCTGATTATGGGGATTAGGCGGTGGTGGCATGCCAGGACGCGGCGGAGCAAAACCACCAGGAGGAGGAGGCATTCCAGGACGAGGCGGAGGCGGTCCTTGCATCCCATGAGGAGGTGGAGGAGGTCCTCTCATCATACCACCAGGCGGAGGAACCATTGGCCTTTGACCATACGGAGGCGGTGGTCCAGGAAACTGCTGTTGCGGTGGCGGCCTCATACCATAAGGCGGAGGAGGACCTCGTCCCATCGGAGGAGGACCTTGACCACCAAAAGCCGGAGGCGGCGGAAGCATCTGTCCTGGAGGTCGCATAATCGGAGGAGCTGAAAGCTGCGGCGGACGAGAGATCTGAGGCTGCATCATTCCCGGAGCTGGTCCACCGACTCCACGAACCGGACCAGAAAGCCCAGGCTGAGCTTGAACCAGCGGACCGGTCGGCACTCCACGTCCAGCGGCACGGCCGATTCCTGGACCAGCAACAGCAGCTGCTGAGCCAGCCTTAGCACGAGATTCTTCAGGAGGAGGTGGTCCTTCGACTGTCATGGAGATTACCTCTTCGCCTCTAAGCAACACCAAGCCAAGCGTACGGCGATCTTCTCTCTCCTCGTTGATCTTCTTCCCTTTCGCCGGTGGAAGCTTCCGAAACTCCTCGCAGTCGCCGAGAACGAGGTTCATGTGGCGGTCGAACGCCATGAACTTCCCCACTAGCTGCCTTCCGTCTTGGATCGTCACTCGCATCCTGTAGTTGATGAACTGAAGCATCTTAGAACTCTTCGACATCGACATTCTCGCCGATTATACAGTAACACCTCGCGAAGCGCTGTGTCAGAGATTCGGCCGGCGAATCGAGCACGCCGGAGGGTTCGAAACGAACAGATCGAGAGCTTAGGGTTTCCAAAATCAATCGAGACGCCAAAATTGGGGGTTTTGGCTGTGCGAATCGCGGAGAGTGCGAAATTTCTAGGGTTTATAAGGGAACATACTTACTCCATTATGAGCTAATATGGGCCCAAAAAGTATTGGGCTGGGCTACAAATAACTTTATATTTTCTTTAAAAATATCAGTTTTTGTTAGGAGCCAATATACCCCCAACATTTGAAAGAAAAAAATCAGATTAAACGAAATCTGAAAGAAAAATTTCAGAAGAAATTAGTTATTTTATTATTCACCCATACATTGGGATTCTTGGCATGAACTAGCGTGCATCAGGAGTCTGTTCAGGACCAAAGCTTGTGCTCAGTGCAAGAGAACTTTTCGATTCCACGTCTTGACTCCCTCCTTTCCTTGAATTCTCTGATAAGAGACACTCTTGAAGTTCATTAGCAACCTGGGACATGTTTGGTCTTCCAGATGAAGATGGACTAACGCATGACATCGCTAGCTCAAGAGCCTTCCACAGTGAACTAGAATCATAATCCCCAGTGAGACTTGGATCAACAATACTTTTTATATCCCCATTGGTTAACTTAAATCCAACCCATTCTCCTATGTGAGCCTTTTCACGTGTTTGGTCAATCACTGGCTGGCTTGTGATGATTTCAAGTAATACAACTCCAAAACTGAAGACATCGCTCTTCTCTGTCAACCAGTTTGTTCGGTAATATCTATAGTGTAAGTAAATAAAAAAAGGTTACCAAATGGAAATAGGAAGAAATAGCTTAAGTTCATTATATTAAGTTGTGTTATAGACCACTTACTCAGGGTCAAGATAACCTGGAGATCCAGCAACATTTGTTGATACATGAGTTTCACTTCCCACTGGAAATGATCTTGAAAGCCCAAAATCCCCAAGTTTAGCCTGGAAATGCTCATCAAGAAGTATGTTCATAGATTTGATATCTCTATGAATCATTGGTGGTTTGCAGCCGATATGCAAATACTCCAATCCTATATAAAATAACACATTATAAGAATTCTTATAAAACTCACCAAAGAGAAGAGAACATCTAAAAAATGTTATTGAATAAAATATGCAATGAGGACTCATACTTTATTAGATTTGAAAAAATAAAACAATAGGCATTGAAACTTAGAACGAACCTTGAGCTGTCTCTGCAGCAATTCTTAGCCTATTTGCCCAACTCAAAGGGGAGCTAGCACATTCTCCTGTACTCATCAAGATGTGTTTGTGTGTGTGTTAAAACGTGTTAAAGCATGATACACGGTCATTGCTTTTATAAATCACCAGGCCAAAAAATACCTGATAGATGTTGTTTTAAGTTTCCGTTGGACATGTACTCATAGATGAGGACCAAGTGTTGTCCTTCGTCACAATAACCAACAAGGCTTACCAAATTTATGTGGTGTACTCTCAGAAGAAGGTCTACCTATCAAACCACATGTAACCCAGTACTAGTTGGTAAACATCTATACATTTTATTTTATTTTTGAATCTGTAAATGAAATTATTTTTGGTGCAAGTACCTCAGCCTTAAATTGCTTATAGCCTTGAGCTGAAGACTGAGAGAGCACTTTAACAGCCACTTGCTCGTTATTAATTAAGTTACCGTAATACACGACTCCAAACCCTCCTTCACCGAGAGTTTTCTCAAAGTTATTTGTCATTACTGTAACCTCTTCATAAGTAAAGCTTCTCTTGTTCACCACCATTGATGGACGTATATCTGGGAAAATTATAATCACGCATCGTATACGAAAATATTCTAAGTTACCGAGTTTTGATTATAGAGCTTATACCTTTCGAAGACCTCTTTTTTCTTCTGTAGAAGAGGATAATGAGAAGAATAATAGCTGTAGTAATACCCACAGAAGCAGCTGATGCAAGAATGGGTACTAGCCATTTCTTTTTGTTTTTTCCATCACCAGCTTCACTTTCGCAAGATGGATCCAAACAGAGGTTTTTATTTCCTCCTCGAAGTCTATAATATTCTCACAAATTTTGTTTATGATGTTGCTAAAAATATAGAAAAGGCGAGATTGGCTATTCATAGAATTATGTTTGGGAGAAATTAAGAGAAACGTACATCAACGTTAACCCATTATTTTCCATGTTACGTAGGGTTTCAGGAATTGAGCCGCTAAGGTTGTTCCCACTCAAGTTTCTGTGCAATGTATATAAACTTAGAAAACGTTATTATATGCGTCCATTTTATGATTTAAAGCCAAAATACTCGTTTTTAATTCAAGGGAAACTTACATGACCGTCAACAACTTCAGTTTAGCGAGAAATTCAGGCACTCTTCCCGTCAAATTATTATTTGACAAGTCCCTAAAACATCCAAATAAACGAAGTTATTGTCAAACAATATTCCTTGGGTCCATGATATAAACAAAGAAAGTCCCCTTGAAAGTAAATATATATAGAGGGGATATGATAATTAACTTACAATTTCTGTAGCTGGCTAAGATATTGTATGTCACTTGATATGGTCCCATTCAGTCCATAATAAGAGAAGTCTCTGTATGTAGATCAAAACACATAATTACGGTCTAATTTATAGTTAAAATACATTAAAAACACTAATTAATCTGAACTACAAAGCTTTAGTGTTCCCATGATCTTACAGAGAAATAATTCTTGGTGGAATAGACGGAAGCATATTGCTGCAATTTAGACCAGTCCACATATACTGTGTAGGCACACATGGATCTCCTTGCCAGCTCATTTTTTGTAATTTATAAAAAGCTTGGATGTTCTTGAATGCAGTGACTGTGCATATATATAAAGTTTAACCTCGTGAACAACAAAAAATGATTTATATATATAGCTACATAGAGATTAAGCACAGTTGACAAACCGTCGTTTTCATCTGTTTCGGACTGAGGAAGCTGGAGTACCCCGAAAACCTCCATGGCATTAAGAGATGGTGGAAGACTTGACGATGTAGTACTTACAAGCTCTAAGTAGCAAGAATCGTCACATTTAGTCGACGTTCTGATAGGAACAGTATCAACCATGAACTCCAGAGGACTGTAGTTATGATTGATTGTTTTTTCATTCCACAAAATACTAAACTCTCTGGTATCATTGGGCTTCAAGGCTTGGATCTCCGCAAAGTGAAGGTACACGTGAACGTCGTCCGTAGATTGCATGGACCAGCGTCTGCTCCATGACTTACCTGCATCTTTGGGTATAGAAGCCTTTGAAACGATAGCTTGTGGCAAATCAAAGGCATTCGTGGTATTTACAGTGGTGGTGGTGTTTATTTGTGTTAATTCATCCGAAAAGTATGTGTCCCATAGACGATCATGGACATCATCAGGATACCTGACACAATCAATGGTGTAAGAACTATTAACCTTTTACTAACTACAATGTTTTTAAAACCAGATCGGGCAATAAACGGAGCAATGCTTCAGGTCATGAGTCAATCCGGTTTAACCAGGTGTAATAGTGGAGAATATAAAACACCAAATATAACATGTTGTTTTCACTTTACCTAATAGTTTTCAATGCAAATGTTTCTATCATATATGTAGCACCAAATTTAACATGTTTTACTATTATCATACTTGTAATTATCGGCTAATCAGCAAAACTTATTTACAGTAACTAATAAGATAAGGTGAGTTGACTTACCGTACGAAGGATTCAGAATTGCTGAAATACCATCGGTTGAATAGCATCAGGGAGCCAGTTTTAGTAGTATAGGTGTCATCTCTTAGGGGACGTAGTTCCAAGGTTGATATGAATGGCGTCGTTGTTCCTGTCTTAACCAGACAAATATCCATAAAATTCGACTTTGGCATGTGAATTATGTCCTCTACCTTACCATCTGTCCGCCAAAATCGGTCGACACTACCGAATTCTTCTTGTAAGTTTATAGTTATCCAGAAGTTAGGGCCAAGATAAAGATCAAATATTGGTCTTTGTTTAAGGTCATCGTAATTTCTATATACGAAGACAGCTCTGATGAGATAATGTGTGCCCTGCATGACAGTCAGATTATAGCAGTTTCGTAATATTCCTTCCGGAAAATACCTAAGGTACTTATATGGCTTTATGTTTGACATGCCTAAACGAGGATCCTCATTATTCGTTCTACCACTTTTTCCACTGCGAATGAAACCAGAGTCGGATGAAAATTTCAAACCGGTGGTCTCTTCAATATAACTAGGCTCGTTATGGGGCATACCGCAATCTAAACTGATGAATCCTGGTATAAGTCATGGAAAAAATAAAATAAACGGGAAACTAAATCTTGTGCAAATATGTCAATCTTAAAAATAATATATGTGCAGGATGTATAACCGTGAAGACATAAATTACCTTGTTGATCATCTTGGGCATTAGCGAGATTAGTAATGAGAAAAACCCCTGTAAGGGCCAATAAAACAAGCCTACGAATACTCTCCATTTCCAAAATGTTAACATAACAATCACAACAAATATTCTGAAGTAAAGCTATTCATGAACATAAAGAGAAAGAGAGTATCAGCTTTGAAAATGTCTCACGTCACCTGAAGAAGATTGACGCTGATTAATCTATATAATAAGTAAAAAATATTTGGAATTGCAAAAGAAGAGGCCAAATTGGGTACAGTTTAATGATAGAAGATGCCCCTCCAGGTTGGTGGTGTTGACTTTATTTTCTCCTATATGTGCCGTTTGGAGTTTCGAGCACGTCTCCCATATTTCTGTATATATGTGGACACACGCATATTACTTGTATAATATTACTACATTCAAATTTGGAGCTTGTTTGATCATTAATTACTCTGGGGGCCTGGCTTTGATCGCTTTAACTATTTTTCACAGGTTAAAGCCTGATAGGCAGTGATGGCCCCCTGAACTGGTTAAGAGGTTCTTAGGTTTGCAGCTACTTGATTCTCAATCGGTGACATGATGAAACCCCGGTGATAGTGATTGGAGGTGGGTATGCTTGCTAAATGAGTTGTGGTTTTGTGGATAATGATAGTTACGATATGGAAGATTGAGTTTTGTTACACCAATTTTTAAAAAGGTATGGATGGATAATTTCTATAAAATTAAGGCTTCAAATATTGAAGACCAAAGGATTAGCCTGTTTTGGAGTTCTTTATGGTTAGATGCTTAGAGGATATATACTCCCCATTATTTATTTATTTTCATTTAAATTTTGTTTTTTATACTAAAACATAATTTCTTATCCATTTGAAATACATTTCAACCAATGATCAAAAATAAATACTCCCTCCATTCTGTAATAAGTTTTTTAAGCAAGTGATGTTTCAACTATCAATGCATTTTTTTTTTTGTAAACATTGGTTGAACTGTATTTAAACATTGGTTGAAAACATAGATTTGTGACTTTATTTGTGAACTTTTTGATCATTGGCTAAAGGCCATATTGTGTGTGTAAATTTGGTTCATAAAAAAAGTCACAAATATATTTTTGGACTTGTGACATTTCAAATGCCAGAATAGGCAGGACGACCGGTCATGTATGTACTTATAAATTATCATACTATTTGACACACACCTTTTAGTAGGTGAATTTTGTAATTAACAGAAATGAATAAATAATATCCAATAGCCAAAAAAAAAGAAAAGAATAAACAGTATAATCAATGCCTTTGAGTTTTGAGAGGAAGCAAAATGGTAAATGAAGGTATAAAATGACTATACACTGATTAATTCTTACATAAATTGTATTAAATAACCATGATATAATTATTGAACTGTATAAAGTCTGTGATATAAATCAGTTCCTTTCTATAAGCTAATCTCTCAAAAAAGATTATGCAAAAAAAAAAATTAGAGCACTTTTGTCTTTGTTTGTCTTTTAAGAAGAAGCATATCCATGGGGATGGGTCTTTTGCCACTTCCAAGCAACTTCAAGACTTTCTTGAAGATTAGTGAAACGAGCAGACCAATTAAGATCTCTCAGAATCTTAGCTGGATCACTGTAAACCTCGGCGTAATCTCCAGGTCGTCGAGGCAAGAAATCTACTTTGATATCTACTCCTGTCGCTTTCTTGCAAGCTTCCACAAACTCCTTCACCGATCTTCCTTTCCCGGTACCTACATTGTAGATTCCCACATTTCTTGGCTTAGCTTTCTCGAGAGCCTTCACGTGAGCATCTACGAGATCAGTAACGTCTATGTAGTCACGGACACAGGTTCCATCTCCTGTTTTGTAGTCTGTTCCTTTGACCTGTTTATAGAGTAAACCGGATTTGAATCCATAAGAGTTGAATAAAGAAGAAGCATAGAGAGTATGAGAGATGAGTTGTTTTTTTTTACCTGCAGGCCTGGAATCACGCCACGAGCTGCATCAAAACAAGCACCTGAAATTCGTCCATGTTCTCGTAGCTCGGGCTTTGGAGCTTCTCCTAGTCTACCTTCTGGGTCTGAACCGATCACGTTAAAGTATCTGTAACAGTCATAAAGATGATCAGACATTGTTGGTTGATGAAACCAGCTCAGAATCAGAGACTCTAAGGTTTCAATAAAAACGAAACCCTGACCTTAGGATCATGACCGCCATGTCAGAGTTCTTGGAGAAATCAAGGATCATATCTTCAGCCATCTTCTTAGCTTTTCCATAAGGGTTGATCGGGACCTGAAAACCAATAATTGCCAAAATCTGATGAGACATGATCATTGCGAAAAAAGAGGGTTTCCGAAACTGTTTTGAGTACCTGTGGTGTAATTTCAGTGATAGGCATTTTGTCAGGTTCTCCATAAGTGGCACATGTGCTTGAATATATCAACTTCTTCACTTTATGTCTAGCCACAGCTTCAAGAACTACTAATGTGTTTGATGTAATGTTGTGGTAATACCTACAGAACGGGCTTTGATCAGTAACTTTACATGAAATTAGCCACAAAAAAAACTCCAAGCTTGCAGTATTGTTATGAACAAAACAGTGGCTAGAGATTGTACTTTAGAGGATCTAGGGTGCTCTCTCCAACATATGCTACAGCGGCAAAATGCATAACAGCATCAAACGCGTTCTCTGTGAAGATTTTATCGACCTGGAGATTTTCTCGGTTAAGAAAACAAAGCTCATACAAAATACAAAGAAAAACGCTCAAAAAGACTCTTACAGCTTTGGCATCTCCTAAGTCGGCATAAATGAATTGAAGCCTCCCAGCTTCTGGGAACAATCCCTGTAAAACCTTGACTGCTCCAAGATTCCCTCGAGAAAGATTGTCCTGTTTGTGAGACAGAATTATAAGTTTTACAAAACCAAACATTGCAGTTTGACTACTTCCCAATGGATTGCCAAAATACCAGCAAAGAAAGAAACTTTACCACAATGGTTACACGGTATGAATCCTTTAGCAGCCTCAATGCAGCATGTGATCCGATATATCCAGCGCCACCAGTGACTAACACATGAGTCACTCCTTCCTCGCTACGAGAGAACTGTGGAGAACAACAATTTACAGCAAAGACCTTAAGAGTTGAGATAACCAAAAAAAAAAATTATCTAAAAGATCCATTTCAGAACCAGATTCAGAAGACATGTTTCCAGACATTAAGAAAAGAGAAACAGATCAAAGATTCTAGCATATTGGATCGTGGAGTTACCGCGGTTGGGGATGTGAAACTCGGTGCGTGCTTGAGCATAAGAATGCATAAAGCTGTAAGAGAAGCTACCAATATAATCCTGCCCATGACATTGCTCTTCCTTTTCGGTTCCAAATAATCCATCCCTGAATGTTCAAAATTGAATTAAAGACTGTTCTTCTGTGGGTATAATATACAATTCAGAAATTCGATATTGTCAAATAGATATGTGCTTCTAGACTAACCTCCTGTAAGAGGTCTTGTGTTTCTTCCTTGGCTTCTGGCTCTAGAGAAACTTAGCATTTGGAGATTCAGAAGAATCTGAAGTCAAAGGACCTCAAAAAGTCTTATCTTCTTTGGTATTGAGACAAAACTCTAGTAACAAACTCAAAAGCCAGCAAACATGACGTTCATGCTGCTGCAGATTGCTGTTTGGAGTAAAAAAAAAAAGATTTTTAAACAGATGAATACAAGCCAAAAGCTTAAATATCATAGAGGAAAAAAATAATATTTGTTGGAAGTGGGACCTGGGTGGAAGAATCATAAACAAAGAAAAAGACAGACAAAAGTTGAATACATTTATGAATTATAAGATCAAAGTTTTCATTTTGAACATGTCCCAAGAAGTCTAATTATATACTTATGAATTTTATATGTTAATTGGAAAGAGAAAAGTTCTTTGGCAGAGAGCATGTTTGTCACAGAAAGAACAGGAACAGAGAAAAATGAAAAAATAACAAAATGCAGAAAGAGTCTGAGAAAAGTCGACGGATTTGACCGAGTTTCGTTGTTTAATGAACAAACCCATCTCAGGGATTACAGATGAGAAGAAACCCAGAATTGACAAACGATTGGAATCGATTCGACAATTTTGATCAGAATCCGATTCCTTTCAAAAAGGGGGGAAAATGCAGAAACCAATCCGATTCAGGGTAAGAATTGCGCAATTACAGAACAAATGAAGAGACAAAATCGTCGTATTTGTCGGAAAAAAGACAGAGATTGAGAGAGTACCTGAGAATTTTTCGAGAAACGGATTGAGAGAGAGAGAGAGAGAGAGAGGAAGAAGAGTTGTATGATGGTTGAAAAGGAGAGACGCGCGACGTTATTAAGGGAGTGAGAGAGAGAGAGAAGGAGGAAGAAGAACGTAAGAGAGACTCAGAGAGAGAGAGAGAAAGTAGGGAGAAGCGGAGGAAGAAGAAGAAAGTGAGGAAAGAAACGTGCAATGCAAAACCAAGGCACAACTACGACCTGGTCTCCACTCTCTCTTCCTCCCTTCAATTAAGGTCTTTCCTTTCTTTTTAATTTTATTTTCTTTTTTTGGGAAAAAAATCCATAAAGAAATTTCTTTTAGAAAAGAAAAAAAAACACAACTCTCAAGTATTTTTTTTCAAATGTTTAAACCTACGATTTTTTACACATTAACGAAGAGTTTGTGTCATGTTGATTGTACTAGTGAGTATTATTTTAAGACCATCTCTATCAGTTAAAATGAGGTTCTATATTTTAATATAATTTAATTAATTTAATTTAATTTTTGTTTCTGTTAAAATAGATACACTAATAAAGAGTTGACAAAGAGTAGAACTTCTCTAAAATAAAATTCTTAACTAAAAACTTTAAAAACCCTTTCTATAATTTCTCTCTTGCTTTTTTATTTTTTTCTTTAATTTATTGCTAAAATTCTCTTCCTAAATCTTTTATTGGAGGTGCTCTAAGTGTTCGTGTGTATTCTCACACTTGATTCAAATTGGGTTCGGTTCGGTCTAAACTAATATGGTTTAAGTAAAATGATAACAAAATATTAACCATGGTCATTTCAATTCAGCTAGAAAGTGGTTGGCTTTTGTGTAAACAACTAGACGAATATTCATAACATTATTAAGTTACGAACACATGAGAATATCATTCGAAACCGAGCCTCTTTATTTCCAACTTGTTAATGTTATGGATGGCACTTTAAACTCGTCGAGAAAAAATGTGACTATAATTAAAAAAAGTCAAACAAAAATAACGTCGTCGTTGTTCGAATGAATGTTCGACCAAACGAGTTTATTCCTTCTTTCCATGGATATTTCAATTAGGTTTTTTTTATTATGATGCGATTGCAATGATTGTATGTAATAAGCAATCATTTGTTACAATCCTCATTTTCTATTATTTAATTTATCTTTGGAAAAAAAGGTATAATCGATAGTGATCAACTATTCTTTTGCTGCCTAGTTGTAGCGACTGCCTAACCATCTAACGTGATTAGCCAACGAATCGATCGTAGACTAATAATGACATTATCTTATATAAGAATCATAATCACGTAACATATACAATAGTACTTAACTAGTATTATCCCCCGTGCATAGCACGAGAACATATCTTCTTACATAAAAGCCCAAACTTCAGTTACATACACATTACAATGTATAAAATAACTTTCATTTATGAGAAGGAAATGATACATCAAAAACATCAACACACTTACCATAGATTAACCAGAAATACATGAAAATTAAATTTGTTTGTTGGGTACAAATATTAGTTTGAAACTTTTATCTTTTACTTCTTTCTGTCTTGTTTTTCTTGTATTTTTCCTAATTTTTAACCTGCTTTATGAGAAGTTTATGACTTCTTACATCCAATATATAAAACAATCTTACAAATTCAGTTAAAACAAAAAACGTTAAAATCAGCATGTAACAAAAAAAGGATCATTATATGAATGCAAATCAAGAACTAAAAATCACTACATAAGCATGGAAAATTAATTAAATTATCTCAATTTAGTTTACTCATTCGTTTGAAAATATGTGTTCTTTACTATTATACCTTTCGATCAAAATGACTTAACTGATAAGCTATACTGTCGAAAAAAAGAGAGAAGCTATACATGGGACATGACTAACCATCAAACATACTCTTATCGAAATGGATTAATTTGAAGAACACACAAAGAGAAAAATAAACATAATGCTTCTTCCCCACATGTCAATTTTTACGTAAAAAAAAATTATCTAACCACCACCTGGGCTACTTCGGCAGCGCGACTACACGACAGTCGTCACTGGGGTTCACGTTATCTAGTCCTGCATCAGGGACGCTGTGTAGATCCTTAACGGACGCTAAGACCTGTTGGGGGTTGGTGCGGAGGTTGTTGGCGGTGGCTTCGTTGGTATGAGACTCAGAGATCCTGCCAGATTTGGTTCTTCATGGAGAGTAACTTCAAACGCTCTTCAAATGTATGGATTGTCCTGCCGATTCTCTGTCTTTCTTCTTTTTCGACTCGAAGTCTTTTCACCATCCAATACTCAATAGCCTCAAACAGAGAGCATTATTCACCTGTTGGAGAAGAATTGAAGAAGAGAGAGAAGCAGACGATATGGCCATATGAGAAGAGACGTTGAGAGAGATGATGAAAATGATGAGAATAAGAAGTTTAAAAGAGATAGAAAATAACAGTTATTGTGAGTTTTATGATAAAAGAGTTGTTTCTGAAAATCTTAACATTAAAAAAAAAAACTGTTTTAGAAATCGTGGAATCATGGTGGTTTTGGATGAGAAAATTTAGGATTTTAGAATCAGAATTTTAAAACTTTTTGCTTTTTATTTTTCGTTAATTTCTAGCTTTATTTTACTTTTTGTTTTTTACTTTTTTTTGTTAATTTGTTGCTGTGCCACATGTCATCATGTAATTGGTCATGTGACTTGATTTCACAATATACACATATTTGTCAAGTGATAGTTGCCATAGTAATTCACGTAAATTGTTTATTTAAATTATTTATCTATTTAGAGATTTATTGTAATTTTTCCTATTTTGTTTGTTGAAAAATGGCATCTCGTGCTAATTCAAGTCAATGGCAGAATGGTGTGTGTGGTAGCCTTTTATATATTCTGATTATACCCCCTACCATACGTCTATACCACATTTAGAAACGGTTCATCTAATTTAACGATCTAATTTTTCAATTAAAACATTTTGTATTTTATTCTAGTTGATCTTAAATTAAAATATTAAGTTTCCTAATTTTGGTCAACTTTCTTATCCTTTCCAATCGAAAGGAAACGAAAATAGACGTCAATTTTGGTAGTTTTATATTATAGCTTTAGTTAGAAAGAAAACAAAAAGAGACTGGCTTAGCTGAGAAAACCTCGCCTAACTCTAAATTCAGAATTAATTTGGTGATTTCTTTCAGTCGTAAGTTAGGTCACCTACAAACTTTGTGACTCCTTTATATATATAACGCAGCCTCTAATTATTTTTTATTTTATGATTTTGCAGCTTCTAAAAGAATTGTGTTTGATTTTGAGCTATAATAATACTTCAAAAAGTTTGTTTGTTAAGAGATAGATTATTTTGATAGTTATCAATCACAAAACGAAAAAAATATAGTACTATTGAAACAGTGCATTACAGAGTTCCCCTTAATCTATATTTTGAGAAGTCTAAATGTCTGGATATATAGTTTTGCAAAAAAAAAACCAAATAAGAAAAATTATTTTTTCTCAAATCGATCATACCGAATCGGATGGTTTTGCGACTACTTCTATAATTGTAAGTTTAATAGTTGGGTAGAAAAAAAAAATTGAAATAGTGTATTGTTTATCTCTTACCGCTATTTTTATAGTTTCTAATTATTTTGTTATTTTTTGTTATTGAATTCGTATTGTAATTTTTATCGGTTAAAGCCTAAAGGTGTACCATTTGTTTGAAAGTTTGGAGAGTTGGACATACTTTATCATCTTTTTGACCCAAAACCAGACCAAACCAAACCAGAAACATAACAACATAACTTCTAGGCTGTACATTTTTGAAAACCGACCCGTACCAAATTGGAAGTGAACTAAGATAGGACCATTTGCGATGCTGTACTAATTCAAGTGAGAACAGAGAAAGAGCAAGAAATCGGCATGAAATCACCTAAACCTCCGAATCTCCCCGAGAAAACTCTTAAACCCAATTTCTTCTACGGCCACCGTAAGCCGTCGCAGAATCGCCCCGTCGTCCACGGTGGTCTCTTCTCTAATCGTCAATATCTATCGAGAGATCCACCCCAATCACCTTCCAACGCCGTCGCCGACCGGATTCCTTTCGATCTCCGCAAATGGGACCCGGAATCTCGTCTCCCTTCCGAAAGAGCTTCTTCTTCGTCTCCTTCCACATCAATTTCCGCCGCCTCCGAACGCCTATCTCCGATCGCGCGGTTCGTCCTCGACGCTTTCCGCAAGAACCGTAACCGCTGGGGACCCTCCGTGGTCTCGGAGCTAAACAAACTCCGCCGCGTAACGCCGAGTATCGTCGCCGAAGTTTTGAAAGTAGGGAACGATGCTGCAGTTTCCGCAAAGTTCTTCCATTGGGCTGGTAAGCAGAAAGGGTATAAACACGATTTCGCTGCTTACAATGCATTTGCGTATTGCCTTAATCGAACTGGGCATTTCCGCGCCGCGGATCAGTTGCCTGAGCTAATGGATTCACAAGGAAGACCTCCTTCTGAGAAACAGTTTGAGATTCTGATCAGGATGCATTCGGATAATAAGAGGGGTTTAAGGGTTTATTACGTTTACGAGAAGATGAAGAAGTTTGGATTCAAGCCTAGGGTTTTTCTGTATAATAGGATAATGGATGCTCTGATGAAAACTGGCTACTTTGATTTAGCATTAGCCGTTTATGAGGATTTCAAAGAAGATGGGTTGGTGGAGGAAAGCACCACTTTCATGATCTTGGTGAAAGGGCTATGCAAATCAGGTAGAATGGAGGAAATGCTCGAGATTCTGCAGAGAATGAGAGAGAATTTGTGTAGACCTGACGTTTTTGCTTACACAGCAATGATCAAGACGTTGGTTTCCGAGGGGAACATGGATGCAAGTTTACGAGTTTGGGACGAAATGAAGCGTGATGAGGTAAAACCTGATGTAATGGCGTATGGAACACTTGTTATGGGTCTTTGTAAAGATGGAAGAGTTGAAAAAGGCTATGAATTGTTTATGGAGATGAAGGAAAAACAGATTTTGATTGATAGGGATATCTACAGGGTTTTAATTGAAGGATTTGTAGCTGATGGGAAGGTCAGATCTGCTTGCGATCTATGGAAGGATCTGGTGGATTCTGGGTACATAGCTGATCTTGGGATATACAATGCAATTATCAAAGGGTTATGTACTGTGAAGCAGGTCGATAAAGCGTATAAGCTCTTCCAAATTGCAACTGAGGAAGAACTAGAACCAGATTTTGAGACTCTAAGTCCCATCATGGTTGCATATGTGGTCATGAAGAGACTGAGTGATTTTTGGAATTTGCTAGAACGGATTGCTGAATCAGGATACCCTGTAGCAGATTACCTTACACAATTTTTCAGATTGTTGTGTGATGACGAAGAAAAGAGAACATTGGCTTTAGATGTCTTTGATGTACTAAAGACTCAAGGTCATGGAAGTGTCTCTGTGTACAACATTCTTATGGAAGCTCTTTACAAGATGGGAAATATTCATAAGTCCTTGTCACTTTTCTTTGAAATGAGGGAATATGGGTTTGAACCAGATTCATCATCGTACAGTATTGCAATTAGCTGTTTTGTTGAGAAAGGTGACGTCCAAGAAGCTTGTTCATGTCATGAAAAAATCATCGAGATGTCGTGTGTTCCTTCCACGTCTGCTTATTTGTCCCTTACTAAAGGACTTTGCCAAATTGGAGAAATCGATGCGGTGATGAAATTAGTTCGTGAATGTCTGGGAAACGTTGAAAGTGGTCCTATGGAGTTTAAGTACGCTCTAAGGGTATGTCATGTATGCAAAGTGAATAACGCCGAGAAGGTTATGGAAGTACTAGATGAGATGAACCAGGAAGGTGTCTGTATCAGTGAAGTCATATACTGTGCGATTATCTCTGGTATGTGTAAGCATGGAACAATAAAAGCAGCAAGAGAAGTCTTTGCGGAGCTGAAGAAGCGCAAAGTTATGACAGAGGCTGAAATGATAGTCTACGATGAAATGTTAATTGAGCAGACAAAGAAGAAAACAGCTGATTTGGTGCTTTCAGGGATCAAATTTTTCGGTCTTGAGTCAAAACTAAGAGCAAAAGGTTGCAGACTACTCGATGACTCAAGTTTGGAGGACCGCTAAATCATTCAGCTGCCCATAGCTAAACAGGCGACCAAGTGGATGTGCTTTTTCCAAACTACTGCATAAGCTCTTTTGGACGTTTGGTATTAGTCTGAGTTGAATGTTTCTTGGGTATGGTTTGCCGAACCATGCAAGTTTTGGAGCTTTTCTCATGAATCGACGATGACATGAGTTGAATGTTTTTTGGGTTGAGAATCTTGGTTGCTGAAGCTTGGATCTTTGGATTCAAGGGTGATGCAGTGAAGCACCTCCCGAGCTTTGGGTTGAGAGTCATAGACCGAGACTTACAAATCAATGGTCTTCAGAATCTGAAGTTGTAATGGCTCGGGTATTGCAACCCCATAACCGTGATCTCTCTTCCATCGTTCCTACAAGTCCGGGTTGAATAAATGACATTGTTGCAGCTTGAAGTTATTGAACTTGGTGGAAGATGAGATCTTTAGTGTGACATTGTTGACATCAAAATTGTTTTTTAGTTATAATATAATCACTTGTTAAGTCTCACTTCCAAAGTATTAAACATGATCAATAACTGTCAGGATTACTTCATTTTTTTGGATGTCTAACTTGTGTTATAAAAAAAATGGAATTGTCAGAAATTGGAATAAAGTTGGAGTTTTTTTATTATCCCCATCTTTGTGGAAATGGCAGTTAAGTTCCCGTGTCGATGGCGTTCTAAAGTGGTTGCATTTATGATACATCCTTCTTAATCTTAATCACACATCCGAAAAAAGATCCAATCTTACTCTCTTTCAATGAATACTCTGGCCAAGAGCGGTGGCGCGTTGCTGATTTCGCCGTCGTTGGCGACGGCTCTGAGGAGAATGAGAGTGGCTGGTTTCGCCACGTCATCGTCATCATCTTCCTCTCTTAACTGGGAAGGTGGAGTTTCCATGGTCCAAGGAGCTTCCAGAGGCATCGGCCTCGAATTTGTGAGTCTCTCTCTTAATCCATCTCTATCTCCAAATCATGAAATTTACTTGTCGCTGCAAAATTCCAGCTTTTTGAAATCCCACTTGAGAGAGAGTCACTGCAATCAATCACTCCTCAAGAATCTTTCAACTTTTTTTTTCATTTGAAATAAGACATTATTAGATCCAAATTTGGCTGTCTTTAGTTAAAAAATTTCACATTTATTTTAGGTACGACAGTTGCTCGAGAAATATCAGAAAGGGTATGTTGTTGCTACTTGCCGAAATCCAAAAGAAGCAACAAGTCTCTCTGATTTGAAGAACCGTTTCTCTGAAAGACTCTTGATACAAAAGCTTGATGTTACAGATGAAACTACCATTGAGGTTATATAGTCTCTCTCTTCCTTCAATCTGTCTCCTTTCGTTGTTCAAAGTGATTCTTGTGGCTAATTTGTTGTGTTAAATACTTGTGTAAGATGTGCTACAAATGTTCTTGCGCTTTTATGCTTTTTCTGAAATTGTCATGGGTTTATTAGGAATCAGCCGAATCTGTGAGAGAAAGATATGGTTCTCTCAACCTGCTTATAAATGCAACTGGTATACTCTCCATTCCTGGTGTATTGCAGCCAGGTATGAGTAATCTTTCATTTGACGAGAATAATCAATCAGTCGAATCTATTTTACTCGTGTTAGAGAGAAGTTAGTTTCAGTTCTCTCAATGAATACTGAAGTTAGTTTCTTAAGTCTCGTTTATTTTGATCTCAGTACAGAAACAACATTGAACAAGGTTGAAAAATCATCATTGATGCTTGCTTACGAGGTTAATGCGGTTGGTCCAATTCTAGTGATGAAGGCAAGGGACTCCTAATTCTTTTTGTTTTTATGAAGGATCCGTTTTTAGATTATGCCTCAAGAGTCAATATTCTAATGCAAAGCAGAGTGAAAAATTGGCTTGAGAGTAAATCTTAAGTAATGCATGAACATGAACTCAATGAATGACAAAGATTTTTTTTTTTTTTTTTTGGCTTTGTTGTAGCATATGTGGCCTCTCCTTAAGGCTGGTGGAGGAAGTGGAACCGAGAGGGAAGTTGCTGTTGTAGCCAATTTAAGCGCCCGAGTTGGATCAATTGGAGATAACAGACTTGGTGGTTGGCACTCTTACAGGGCTTCAAAAACCGCACTCAACCAACGTACTGCAGATTTGTTGTTTGGGAAAGTCTTGATCTTATTGGTATGAACTGTGAGAAAACAAAACCATTAATCTCTGTTCCCAACTGTTGCTTTTGCAGTGACGAAAAATGTATCAGTTGAGATGGGTAGGAGGAAGGACCCTGTGGTATGCATTCTACTGCATCCAGGCACAGTAGACACTGATCTATCTCGACCATTCCAAAGGAATGTTCCCGAAGGAAAGCTTTTCACTAAAGAGTACTCTGTTGAGAAACTATTGCACATCATCAACAATGCAAAGAGACAAGACAACGGCAAGTTCTTTGCTTGGGATGGCCAGGAGATACCTTGGTGATTTCTATTGTTTGCTTGGGATGGCCACTTCTTTCAAATTGTATTGAATTCTTGTCGAGTTTTTTTCCCTTTCTTGATTAAGAGCTATATCTTCGAGTATTGTCGAATAATCTGGAGTGAGTGTCCAAAAGTTGAGAGCTTTCTGAGTATTCAACAATCAATTTGATGGTCCAATCTTTTTTCTTTTCTTGAAAAAATTGCTCTTTTTTCCTTGAGACGATTCAATAATTAATGTGATGGTCTTTCTGTAATCTACATTGTGTTTACCTTTACAAGCTATTTGCAATGCTCTCTGTGATCCAGCTACTACCTGGAGTCTTATGAACTCTGTTCTTGTTCATCAATCCTTGAAGAGCTGCAGCGTCATCCCACTGTCTCACAGAACTATATGTGTTGCTTAGCAGCACATAAGCTGCTGAGTTCTGAGGATCCAGACTTATGAGTTTCTCTGCAACTCGTCTAGCCAAGCTCACATTTCCATGGACTCTACATGAACTAAGTAGAATCTCCCATAAAACAGAGCTGCTTTTGTATGGTGTAGCTTCTGCAAGAGTCTCTGCATCTTCAAGCCTACCAGCTCTTCCAAGACAATCAACTATACATATGTAATGATCCAGCTTCGGTTCAATTCCATGATCTCTCTGCATCGAACCAAGTATCTCAAACCCAGTATCCACCAGGCCTGAGTGGCTACAAGCAGTCAAGACAGAGACAAAGGTTATCTCGTCGGGCTTCTCTCCCGATGTAATCATCTCTCTGTACAGACCAACAGCTTCATCGCCTCGTCCGTTATGAGCATACCCATGTATCATCTCGTTCCAAAGAACAGTATTTTTAATCAACACTGTATCAAAGAACTCCCGAGCTGAATCTATTTCACCGCACTTACAATACATATCGGTAAGAGCGGTTTCAACAAAGGAGTCACTTACATATCCGCTCTTCACTACCAGGCCATGAAACTGTCTTCCATGGAGTAAACTACATAACCTTGAACAGCTACCTAACATAGTAGCGTATGAAGTTTCATTAGGAAACAACACACCAGTCTGATGCATTCTTCTGAAGAGCATTAAAGCTTTTGTGTCTAGCGAGTTGCGAGTAAGACCTGCGATCATCGAGTTCCAACAAGCGATATCCAATTCGGTTATACAACTATCAAAGATACATTCAGAGATCTCCATCTTCTCGCATTCCGAGTACACTGCAATCAGACCACTAACTATGTGACTGTTCTTAGAAACATTGGTCCTAATTGCTACCCCATGGATCTGTTTCCCTCCTTCCAAAAATCTCAATCTCGCGCATGAACTTAGCATCACACTCAGAGTGGTTCTGTCAGGTTTCAAATTCCGAAACTGCATGTGTCTGAAATGGTTCACTGCTTCCTCATAGTGTTCATACTTGGAGTAGCCAGACAGAAAAGCATTCCATGCGGTAACACTCGTGTGCGGCATGCTAGTGAATATTCTCCTACCGTCCCCTGAACTGAAGCACGCTCCAAGAACACTAATGCAGGTAACTTCGTTTGGTTCAAATCCAGACTCTCTCATTCTATTTAGATAATCAATTGATTTGTCACTTCGATACTCTTGACCAAACCCAGCTATCATTATGTTCCAAGAGACAACATTCACTTCACGCATCTCAGCAAAAATCATCTCTGCACCATTCATGTCTTTACTCTTTGCATATATTTCAAGCAACGAATTGTTCAGATGAAGATCTCCTTCGAACCCAAGCCTTAACACGAGACCATGGATCTGTTTCCCAAGCACATTGCGATAGATTTCATTCGAGCTATCACATTCCTCTCTTTGAGCAGAGACGCTGAGAATATTAGATAAGCAAACAGAATCCACTTGGACACCTTTCTCACACATCGATCTGAACATGTGAACTGCCTCCAAAACTTTGTTTTCCCGAGCTAACCCGTTAATCACAGCTGTAAAAGAGACTTCATTAGGCTCAAGGAGAGATTCAAAGACTCGAACACCATGATCCACCATAAGCCCGCACTTTGCATACATAGACAACAATGCATTCCCAACAAATATGTTCTTGTCAAGACCGGTTTTAACAGCGATCCCGTGGCATCTCATACCGTTAACGCCATTCAAGAGCTTGCTACAAGCGCTCAAAACGCTAGCTAGCGTGAAACGAGAAGGCAAAAACCCTTGAGAAACCATCCTCTCATAAACAACCAAAGCTTTCTCCTCTAACCCTTTTCGCACCAATACGCTAATCATGTTGTTCCACGACACTACATCTCTCTCAGGCATTCCATCAAACACCTCACAAGCTTCCCTCAAATCCCCAACTTTACAACTAAATGTCAAAAAAGCGTTCCATGAATAAACATCTTTAACAGGCATTTCGTAGAACACGTTTCGTGCATAATCCCCATCACCACACTCACAGTATAAATCCAGTAAGCGGTTACAGAGATAAGTATCGCCGGAAAATCCAGTCCGAACGGCGAACCCATGTATGACTTTCCCGGAAAGTTTACACCTTTCATCTCTGCAATAACGCAAAAGATTCGCTAAGTAACGATTGCTTCCACTACGCATTCTCTCTTTAGAGCTACTTCTAAGCTCAGCTCTCACGACTTATATAACATTTTATAAAATATTAATAAACTAAAATTGAAATGAAATAATCATTACATGAATCTAAATTGAAATTAATTTTACATCTGCGAATATAAAGAACTGAAAACAAATTAAGAACAAAAAAAGTAATAATAATCTTTATGGGAAAAATATTTGTTTTACGAAATCAAGAAGAAGGAATGACGACGGTGCGCATCATGTTCTTGAATTCAAAAAAGTCAACGCGACCATCTTGATTCCGGTCAACGGAGACGATCATCTTCTCCACTCTCTCCATCTCTCCTCCTTCAGGCAACCCAAGCTTCTTCAGAACCGTCTGCAACTCCCTCGCGGAGATGAACCCGTCGCCGTTCTCGTCGAACACCTTAAACGCCTCCGCGAGATCCGATTCGTTTGCGGCGGCGGATTCCGGCGAAGAAGAATCATCGTCTTCTCCTGCTCCGCCGAAGAAGGATTCGTCGAGGGTCTTGTGGAGGGCGGAGAAATCGTCGAAGTTGAGACCGGTGTTTCCAGGCTGGATGTATGACTCGACGGTGGATTTGAGATCGGAGATATCTGCGTTGAGGCCGAGACGGGAGAGAGCTTGGCTTAGCTCCTCGACGGAGATGAATCCGTCGCCGTTTTTGTCGAACAAATCAAAGATACGTTGGAGACGAAGAGCGTTTAGGCTTGGGCTTCGAAGCCTGAACGATGACGACTGTATCGTAACTTTCTTATTCTCGCCGTTGCTCTCCATTGTCTTCTTCTTCCTTCTTCTTCTTCTTCTTCTTCTTCTTCTTCGTTTTGGAATTATAATCGACGAGTGATGAAAAGTCTAATTATAGAAGAGAAACAATTGGGGAATTGAAAATGTTTATGGGAAGGAGTCCGTTTTTGCCGGCGTTGACTTTTTCTGGCCCGCCATGTATGAAATTCGGACATCAAACCCATTAAGAGAGATTAATGTCTTAATGATGGATTACTTTCTTGGCTTATTTTGCTTATTTTATAACTGAAATTGCTTTCAAGTTGATTATACAAAACATGTCACGTCGTAGTAGTTACCGAATTTAATTGGAACGTTTCCACTTGCCAACTAAAAAAATGGGTTGTTTCAATTTTCTGCAAATTTTCTCAATAATCATAGAAAATTCAATCTCACAAAGAAAAACTATGTCTTTACAAAGCCATTCAAACTATTGAAAATCAAAACAAAACAATAAAGCTGAAATTGTTTCAATAACTCTTAACCTAAAAAACAGTACCTCAATGATCATACAAAGAAACCACCATGTCATAAATCTGCGTCAAGCTTGGTTGCTTCAATGGTGGTTTATCAGTACACATAAGTCCAAGTGTAATCGCTTGCTTAACTTGCTCCATCGATCTATCCTCAAGCTTCATCTTCTCATCAATCACTCTGCCTAGATTATCCGGATAATGAACTCTTATATACTCAAGATACCTCCTTTCTGAATCTTCTTGTTCCTCATCAGGTCTTAGATTTGTGATCATCTCCAAAAGAAACAATCCAAATTTGAATATATCTGTAACAACACAACAACAAAAACACACTTCTTAGTTTTTAACCTCAATAAAGAATTTCATAATTTCAGGAATGAAAAGAGCCTCACTTGTTGATGAGTTGTTTCCATCTCCGATCTTGAATTGAGAGATCAATGGTTCTTGATCCTCATCAGATAACAAAACACCGCTTGTGCTAAGATCAAATGTAATCTCAGGCCATTGTTCCGATAGATAACAAATACCTTCAACAACTCCCATAACCACTCTTAACCTTCTTCTCCATGATGAAGCCGATGAAGAACTCAACCAAGTCCCAACATTTTCTCCATTAATCCACTCTGTAACCAAAGCCCTCAAGTTTCTGCCATTACACCAACCCAAAACTCTTACCAAATTCTTCTGTCTAAGCTTAAAAACCGCCTCGCATTCCTCTGCGAACTCACGCCTTTTCTCCCTTGAAACCTTCTCTGTATAAACCTCGATCTTTGCCTCTGTCCCGTCTCTTAACGTTCCTCTGTAGATATCGACTCTATTGGTTTTGCTCACAAGCTTCTGATCTGAAAACTCATCGGTCGCTGCATCGAGCATCGCAGATGTGAACTTGTTGCTTCTCCGGCACGTTCTTGGTAAGTAATCAGGTCTTTTGAGACATATCCACCCAAAGCAAAAACAGAGCAAAATCACCATTAACGGAAACACAATCAGCAAGACCAAAACTTTCATCTTGTAACGCTTGACATTAGTAAGAACACCGGATTGTATGAAACTAGATGCGTTAAACCGTTTGAAGAAGCCGGAATCGGAGATCTTATCCTCCGAGAATCGGTTATACGAGAGATTCAAACGGGTCAGATTTGGTAATTTGGAGAGATTCTGAACCGGAACAAAACCAGAGAACTGGTTGTAACTCAGATCAAGAGTGCGAATCTGAGCACAAGACAGAACATTTGTCGGAAAACCGGTCTTGAGAGAGTTATTAACAAGCTCGATCTCGACGACGGTTAAAGGACAATACTTCCAGAAGAAATCGAAAGAGAGGTAGAGTGCAGCGGTTTTAGGGCGGCTGTTGATTCTGATTTTGGGGAAGGATTCAACGCAATTAGGGTTTTTGGACTCGTTGCAGAGATGGCTTGCAACGATTGTGGAGCGGAAGATCTCGACAATGTCCATCGGAGAAGAAGAGGTGTTGTTGCAGTAACGGAGAAGTGGATCACGAAGACAGTTTGTGGTAATGGTGGTGCTGAAATCAGGAGGTGGAGTGAGGTTGGCGAGATCTTCGACTACTGTCGCTGAGAGTATTGAGAGAGGAAGAAAGTGTGATGATAGTGAAGTGAGGAGGAAGAAGAAGAGAGAAGACGCCATTGGAGAATGATTTCGTTGTGCTGAAAAGAAAACGCTTTTTTGCTGTTGTTGTTGTTGTTGTTGTTGTTGTTGTGTGTATGTGATGGGAGAGAGAAGCAGAGTGGTGGTTTCGTGTTATTTGAGGTGTTGGCGGTTATGTTGAAACAGAGTGGGAGGATATTTACGCGCTCATTTTCATGCTCTTTTTTTTTCTCCATTCTTCATGCTTTTAGTGATCGTGTGCTTGGAAGTTGAAAGGTTATTCAAAAATATTTGGGGAAAATAAGTTTTACGATAGCTATATTATGGAAATTAAAAAAAGAAATCAATTTTATTAGTTAATTTTTTAAATTTATATACATACAATCTTGACATGTTTTACCTTGTAATCAAAATTATCTTGAAAAATGGAAAATCACAACATACGGAATATCACAAAAAAAACTTAACAAGATTGGTGAAAATGACCAGGACCGTGTCTTTAAAATTTAGTAGTAACAATATAAAATAAGGTTTGTGCCCACTGATCAATAATCCGTTCACCTCTACACTATCAAACCAAACATCTCTTTAACCAACTCAACTTATGAGTTTTTATACTAAATTTGTGTGTGTGTAAAGCTCAGACCGAAAATCTTTAAAATTTTGAGTAATATGCTGTAAACAAAAAATGATCTTAGAATAGTTTTGCTTGTAAAGATTGTAACACGAATCCATTCCTGTTATTTTTTAGGTAACTAAAAATATGTAGATGAATTGCAATGGGGTTTTTTTGAACGAGTAAGCGTTTATACTTTTGCTATATAATATCGGATTAATGGTATCTAAGCTGATGTATGTACTTTGGTATACAATAAAATCTATCAGAATTAACAAACTCACTCGAAGACAATATTCTAGAATGTAATATGATGAATATCATGATCGCAAGTTTTCAAAATTAAATGAGACTATATAAGGAACATCAAAGTCAGTCAAGATTTACAAAAGAAAAAACAAACCTTTTTTGCTATCTGTGGATGTTGAGCATGGCTTTAGCCTCCGTCTGCTGCTCCCTTCTTTGCTTCCCTCCTGACCTCATCCAATCTCCGCCACTCATCCACCGCTCTCTTCCTCATCTCTCCTTCCGCATTCTTCTCCAAGGCCAATTTACTAGCCTGTTTATGCTATTTGCAAGGCACAATGTATGGAGTAAGTTTATGACCCTAGCCCTTAGGAGGACTAGTTCTATATCGTCTGAGTTTCGCTTTCTTTTGGAATCAACATCTAACCGAATGTGTTGTTCAAAAACCAAAAAAAAAAATGGAAAAAAAAAACATTTAACCGAATGTGCTAGTATAAAAGCTGAGAAGATCATGTAAACGGCTTATCAAAAAACTAGATTAGACCATGCGTATACACCGTTTATGATATAATGTTTTTAATCTGTAAGAGTGTAATTAAACACGAATCCACTTCTATTGTAACTAAAATTTTTTGATGAATAGCAATGGTTTTTTTTTTTTTGAACGAGTAGAAGAATGTATGATATACTTTATTTTATTTTTTTGTCGAATTGTCGGAATTTTAAGAAAATATTTAGTAGATGGACTACCTAATGTCCAACAAAAAAAAATTATCTCCTCTAAAATTTTTATAATTTTTAATAAACACAACCATAACTGTAAATAATATATAATAATAAGTTTCTTACTTTCTTGAATATAGAATGGTTTCACCATATGTTACATTTCCACTAAAACTATCCACAATGGATTTTTTTTAACACCTTCTTTTTTATATTTTAAGAGTTCATATCATCTTCTTTCCTCCACCTAATAATTTAAAACCACTAAATTTTTTATATTTTACAATAATTTTGTTTAATAAAATTCAACACTATATTTCCAACACTTAAATAAATTGTCAAACTCATAAATAAAATATTAAAACTTCAAAATCACACATTAAAAACTTCACAATCAAACTCTTAAATCACACATTAAACTATTTTAAAAACTTTAAAATAAGAGCTTATAAAAAAAGTCTTAGAAAATTTATGGGAAAAAGAAGTTCTTTTATGTGTACCCAAATTAAGAAATAAATTTCTATTTATAGGATACAAAAATGATTAATTTTAGTATAAAATTATTGTTTTGTATAAAAAATACTATCGATTAATCTCAAAGAATTGAAATGAAATAAAAATCTAAAAACAACAAAGCAACTTTTTCATTGGTCCACGTGGCGTTTTGTCCTTGCTACTCTCATTTCATTTCAACACCCAAAAGGCCAAAATCAACACTCCATTAAACTCATTCAACTGTTCAACAAAAAAAAAAGCAACATAGTAATAAACATTTATATATCTACGTATGTATTCAACATTCTCTCACTAAAGGAGATTCCATATCTTTGTAGGTTTATTCAAAGTAAACTCACCAGAGTTTTATTATATATAATCCAAATCCCATTAACTACATTCTTCATAAAACAAATGTCTCGGACGTTTCTTTTTCTAAATTAAAAAAAAATAATAAAAAAATGAAAGAAGTACTTTGTATTCTGTTTATTGTTATTCTTTCGGTTTCAGATGCAAAAGTAACGAAACAAAATATTGAAAATTTCCTCAAATGTCTTCGTTGTCGGACAAGTCCAGAATATCCGATCACCGAAGCCATCTATAGCCCGCATAACTCAACCTTCGTGTCATCTTACGTGTCCTACACGAAAAACAAAAGGTACTTAAACCCTAACGACAAAAACCTAATAGCCATTGTTGCTGCAAAACATGAATCTCATGTTCAGGCAACCGTGGTCTGTGCAAAGTCCAACGGAATCCAGATCCGTATCCGTAGCGGCGGTCACGACTTGGAGGGCCTTTCTTACATCTCATCTTTACCTTTTGTCATTCTCGACATGCACAATCTCCGGTCTATTACCATTGACGTATCAACCAAGAAAGCTTGGGTTCAAGCTGGGGCGATCTTGGGGGAGCTCTACACCAAAATCGCTGAAGCGAGCAAAACGCTGGCGTTTCCAGCTGGCGTTTGCCCTACTGTAGGAGCGGGAGGACACATCAGCGGTGGAGGATACGGAAATCTGATCAGAAAATACGGAATCTCGGTGGATCATGTCGTTGATGCTCAACTAGTTGATGTCAACGGCAAGATCTTGAACAGAGCTTCCATGGGAGAAGATCTGTTTTGGGCCATTCGAGGTGGTGGAGGTGCGAGCTTTGGAGTTATCCTCTCGTGGAAAATCAACCTCGTTGAGGTCCCAGAGATCTTAACAGTGTTTAAAGTTAACAAAACACTTCAACAAGGAGCCACTAATGTTCTGTACAAGTGGCAGATTGTCTCTAGCAAATTACCACAAGGGCTTTTCTTGAGAGCAATGCCTGATATCACAAATGGAGAGAAATCCGGTGATAAAACCATTGCGGTTAAGTTCTTTGCTCAGTTTTTAGGCTCAGCGAAAACACTAATGGAGATTATGAAGAAGAACTTGCCTGAACTAGGGCTAAAACGTGAAGATTGCTACGAAATGAGCTGGCTTAATACGACAATGTTTTGGGCAAATTATCCTATGGGAACATCGACGAGCGTTCTTCTAGATAGGCCATCTGATCCTCCAGGAGCATTCTACAAAGGAAAATCAGATTATGTCAAGAAACCGATCCCAAAAAAAGGAATGAAGAAGATTTGGAAAACAATGTTGAAATTCAACAATGTGTGGATGCAGTGGAACCCTTACGGCGGAGTGATGGACCAAATTCCGGCGAATGCCACGGCGTTTCCTCACCGGAAAGGAAACTTGTTCAAGATTCAGTACTTTGCGTTATGGATCGACGCAAACGCCACAGACGCTAATCTCCGTTTGATGAAAAAGCTTTACCATGTGGCGGAGCCGTACGTGTCAAGCAATCCGAGAGAGGCGTTTTTGAATTACAGAGACGTCGATGTTGGAAGCAATCCGAGCGGAGAGACCAGTGTTGAAGAAGCTGAGATCTATGGATCGAAGTATTTCTTGGGAAATTTGAAGAGATTGATGGATGTTAAAGCTAAGTATGATCCTGAGAATTTCTTCAGGTATGAGCAGAGTATTCCTCCTGTTCTTGCAATGTAACTCTTTAATGGGACTTTTCTGTTGGATAAGTTATGTTGCATTAATTAAGCTCATGCAACTTGCATAGATCAAACCTATTTGTCCTACTTACAGTACGTACGTAAGATTTATGTTTTGTGATATTAGTCAATGATCAATAAAAAAAATTGGGAATTTTTGTGTTAATTGTTGAACGAATCAACATAATACTGATCGATTCGTTCGTGTAGGTACCATCATAGGAAAATATAGTTGATTATTTTTGAAAATACTATTTTTTTAAGAAAAAATTATAATTTGCTACCTACAATACCATCGACCATTGTTAGTTGGCACATTTCTTGGGATATTGATGTCACTCGTAATTTGTTATCTTGGTTCCATGCATCCTCCATAGTTGCAGAAATACTGTGAGCATATGGAACCGCGTTAATAGATGATGGTAGTGTTGTGCTTATTTACCAAACAGCTATACATCAAAACCAGTGTAATTATAATGCAAACCTAAAAATGTTGAAATTTTTTTCAGAATAACTCTACTCGGAAACTTTACGAAACATATTTTTACATAAAGATCAGTGTAAGAAATAAATACATCTTACGAAATAAAACTACGTATCGATATCAAATAAATAATTATGCAAATTTAGTAAGCAAGGCAAATAATCATATCCTTATTTCTTTGTAGAAATTACAAATCGTTCTTTTCAATAAGATGCTTTGATATGTTATTATTTGTTTCCTGAATTATATGGCCTAAGGTTTCATTCATCTATATTGATATGTGTAATAAATTATAGATAAATGTATAAGTTTTGTTTGTTTTTTTTACAAATTTATTCAAATAATTTTCAATTTAATTAATTATGTCAAATCTAGCACATTTCTTCTTTGTTTTGGGTCAACTCTAGCACATTTCTTTCATCTATAAGAAGATATGGTCTAATGTAATAAGTTAGGGATTTTTTCATATTAAGTCATTAATGTGTGGAAGATCTTTGATCAACAAAATCTTTACTTAACAAAGTTAAATCATAACTGATAATCATTAAAAACAAGGTAGGTTTCTTTAATATCAGTTTCACTTCACTCTACGTTTCCATCAATAAAAATCTATCGATGTTTTCAACTTTCCCTCATTGACCAAAATTAGGCCTTCGAATTAAATTTCTCTGCGGAGTTTTAATTCTATAAATCGAAATGCCAATAAATACGTAAAACAAATTGCTTGGGCTTTCTTTTCTCTGCAGAGTTTAGTTTTCTCCGCAGAGTTCTTCAAACAAGAAAGATAACAATGAAAGAAGTAGTTTTCGTTGTGTTTCTTGTTCTACTTGTTATAGTTTCAGATGCGGAAGTAACTAAACCAAATAATGGAAACTTCCTCCGGTGCCTTCATGATCGGACCAGACAGGAGAATCCGATCACCGAAGCCCTTTATACTCCCGATAACTCAACATTCGTGTCAACTTACGTGTCCTACACGAAAAACAAAAGGTACTCAAACCCTAACGACACAAACCTAATAACCATCATTGCCGCAAAACATGAATCTCACGTTCAGGCAACCGTGGTCTGCGCAAAGTCCAACGGAGTCCAGATACGAATCCGAAGCGGCGGTCACGACTACGAGGGTCTTTCGTACATCTCGTCTGTGCCATTTGTTGTTCTTGATATGCACAATCTCCGGTCTATTACCATTGACGTGTCCAGCAAGAAAGCTAAGGTTCAAGCTGGTGCGACCTTGGGAGAGATCTACACCAAAATCGCTGAAGCAAGCAAAACGCTAGCGTTTGCGGCTGGCGTTTGCCCCACTTTAGGAGCGGGAGGACATATCAGCGGCGGAGGATACGGTAATCTGATTAGAAAATACGGAATCTCGGTGGATCATGTCGTTGATGCTCAGTTAGTTGATGTCAATGGCAAGATCTTGAATCGAGCCTCCATGGGAGAAGATTTGTTTTGGGCGATTCGTGGCGGTGGTGGTGCTAGCTTCGGTGTAATCCTCTCGTGGACGATTAACCTCGTTGAGGTCCCAAAGACTATTACAGTGTTTAAGGTCAACAAAACATTAGAACAAGGAGCCACTGATGTTCTCTACAAATGGCAGCTTGTCTCTAGCAAATTGCCTAAAGAGCTTTTCTTGAGAGCAATGCCTCAGGTCGCAAAAGGAGCGAAATCCAAGGGTAAAACCATCGCGGTTAACTTTTACGCTCAGTTCTTAGGCTCATCAACGAAGCTCATGAAGATTATAAACAAGAACTTGCCTGAATTAGGACTAAAACGTGAAGATTGCTATGAAATGAGTTGGCTTAATACGACAACGTTTTGGGCGGATTATCCGGTTGGGACACCGACGAGCGTTCTTCTGAAAAGACCATTGGAGCCACCAGGAGCATTCTTCAAAAGCAAATCTGATTACGTCAAGAAACCGATCCCAAAAGAAGGAATGAAAAAGATTTGGAAAACAATGTTGAAATTTAACAATGTGTGGATGCAGTGGAACCCTTACGGCGGAGTGATGGACCAAATTCCGGCGAATGCCACCGCGTTTCCTCACCGGAAAGGAAACTTGTTCAAGATTCAGTACTTTGCGTTATGGATCGACGCAAACGCCACAGACGCTAATCTCGGTTTGATGAAAGAACTTTATGAGATGGCGAAGCCGTACGTGTCAAGTAACCCAAGAGAGGCGTTTTTGAATTACAGAGATATCGATGTTGGAAGCAATCCGAGTGGAGAGACAAATATTGAAGAAGCTGACATTTATGGATCCAAGTATTTCTTGGGGAATTGGAAAAGACTGATGAATATTAAAGCTAAGTATGATCCTAAGAATTTCTTCAGGTACGAACAGAGTATTCCTCCTGTTCGTGCTATGTGACTTTTGTTACTAAGTTTTGTGAGCATATATACCAAAAAGATAAAGTAAAATGTAATGTGTGCATGCATTATATAGCTCATGTAATTTGCATAAAGTATTTATCCTGCGTATGATTGTGTGTTTTTATTCAATGATCAACCAAAAACTTTGGGAGTATTCATGTTTACTTTTTGAAAGAATAGACACAACATAATATTCGTTCGTCTAGATGTCTATACAGAAACATAAAGCTATGTTTGAAAATATCTTTTGTTTTTAAATATTCATGTTCATAGTCCTGTGTTGATCAGGCTGGTGATGGTTTTACTATTATAACGTCTCTTGTTGTTAGTTATTCTTTACAAACTTGTGATTTTTGGATGGATTATTTAACATGAAGATCCTTCATGTTAAGAATCTTAGCATTTCACTCTACTGGTGAAGCAGGGAAAGCTTTTTGAGTGTCAAGGTAACCTATTATTCTTCACATTAAATTGGTGTATATGATGAGATTCTCAATAGGTTAGTTACTAAATCACAATGGTGCACATGACAATCAACCTTAATTCTATGATCAATGGTGGTTCCATTTTCTTTCACCCTTCTTCCCACTCGACGTCGTCTTCTTCTTCTTTTTCATCATCTGCTTGCACATTTAAGTCCACCTTGTAGTCTCCATTTGCTGCAACAGGAGCCTCTTCTTCCCATTCCACATCTTCTTCATCTTCCTCTTCACGTTTGGACTTCATACCAACCTGACGATCTGAGGATGTTGTAGAAGCCAACTCAATGTCAGGAGTGGTTAATACCCCTGCAGATTCTTGCTGATTCAGCTTTTCAGCTACCTCTTGCTGCTTCAGTAGAGCGGCGTAGTAAGCTTTGATATATTCATCCTGAAGCCAAAAAACGGAAATAAAATGTATCAAGATTCTCGAAACACAATCCACAAGATGCTACATACTGTAGGAATCTAAAATATACACAGAAACTTTACACAAAAGGCATATACCTTCAGATCCTTATCATCGCCATTTCCCATGGCTGATTCATCTGAAATTTTGACTGATCCTCCAGAGACACCATCATCAGTGTTTGCTTCATGTCTCATCTCTCCTCTTTGTTCATCCGTCAGATTCATTCCTTCTTTGATCATCCATGAAGGGAAAACTTTCTGACTAGAATCTCCACCTTCAGATTTAACATCTTCTTTTCCTTCACCAAGGTTAACCTCAACCTAACCATATGTAAGATTTATGAAATCAATTTAAGAAATCAACATCTTCTTCATCTTCAATAGTAACATTTAACTTGTATATACATTGAGAAGTGTAACTAATGATCACCTTTGTCTCTCCGAGAAATTGCATCGATGTTGAACCATACCCACCCTGTGACCTCGAAGGATCGTTAGGGTTCAGACCACCATTTTCATGAGCAGCCCTAGCCGCACGAGCCTCCCATTCCGGATAAGATTCATAGTCAGGAAACGGTAGGTCTTCTACTTTATGTATTTGACCCATCAGATCCTGCACTTTATTTCCAATCAATATCATAACTCTTTCTGATGCCATCATGAATATGGACCAATAATTTCTGATATTTATAGAATTTTCTAGAATATTGAACTGAGCTGCTAAATTAATATACACAGACCTCCACCATCTGAAGTTTCTTTGCATAGCCATCTCCATTTACTACATCTTTGGAAGTTAGCTTTTTACATTCCACAACAAGTTCACCATTGCATTTCTCACAATGAAAAGAATCGTCTTCCATAGAAAGTAATCTCAGGGCATCCAGTGCATTATATCTATACCAGAAATGAGAGTCTGTTAATTCAGGGTTTAGTGAACACAACACAACTCATCAATGTAAAGATTTTTATAAGAACAGAAAGAGCAGTGGACTTTACTTCCTTTGGCATTTAGGACAGCCATACTCTTGAACAGTATTCTTATCTTCTTGTTCATCTTTGAGTTTTTTTTTAATCCGGCACAGCTTACACCGAACAATATCATATATCTGTAAGAGAAAAGAAGTGCTATAAGGTAGTTTGATCTAAAGAAGTAAATTAAAAGGTAAAACAGCAAACTGAAAGCAAAAAAAAAAAAAAAGGTACTAAGGATATGAAGCATACCTGTTGATAATCAAGACAGCAGTATGAGTACGTTTGGAGCTTAACTTTGTCCTCTGCTCGGCCATCAGTTGTAGCAGCCACTGCACCACTATATATCTTTGCATTCTTCTGAAAAGATTGAGCATAAGAAAAAACAGAAGTGAGAGGGAACAATCTTTGCGATATAGGCTTCGCAAGAAGAATATTGATGCGATAAGTTCTATATATCAATCTAATAAAGCATAGTTTCTGCACATACCTCTTTCCGGTGGTGACGCTTGACCAATTTTTGTTCTTCAAAGTGTCTTAATATTTTCCGGAGTAGCTTGGCATTTATCCTCAAGTCTTTTGCCAAATCTTCTTCTCTAACCCATTGCCGCCTAGAAGACATAGAACAGAAGCAATACCAAGAAATGAAAGGTCAGTGAAAACATAGCGGGTTTTAAGCAATATCAATCTTGAAACAGCCAATAATCAAGTTTCACAAGTTAGTCTACCATTCTCCTTATTAAACATAAAAAAAACCAGTCTGGAAACTACTAACTGTGACAACTTTAGATGTTATCCAGATTCACCTAATAGACTTTGTGGGTAGTAAAAGTAGAGGAGATGCATACAAACCTCGTAAGCGAGTCCAGCACCACAACGGCAATCCCTCTGTCGTCAGTTCTTGCAGATATCGGCTGATCATCTCTTCTCGTGGTATACTGATCATAGGAAACCCTTGCTACAAGCCTCACCAACCTGAAAAATTAAATTAAAAAGGCAACATAGGAAATGCAAAAACATATATATATATATGACGAATTTAGTCAAGAAAGTATCAATATGTGTGTGATTGGATAGAAACACAAAGTTCTATGGTATAGACTACAGAGAGAGAGCGAGAGAGATACCTGGTAAATAGCTTGAGCACAACGGTTCTCTGCACCGGGACTGATATATCCATGGTCATAGCAAACCAGATACTTGCATTTACCAGTTGAGGAGGCCAGTATTAATTAGGTTTATGTTTGATACAAACCACCCAGCATAGAAGTTAAAACAGAGTAATCACCGGATAAGTAACTAACAGAGGGGTCAAATAAAAAACAAGAAACCAAAGCAGAGCAAGAAGCTTGTGAAACTTAAGCACACTGCAGAACAAAGGAAAACGGCAGGAGCTAGTTTCTTGGAAACTGGTCTAAAGATACGATTTTAATGATTCAAGGCCAAAGAAAAAGCTATTCCCCCACTCGATATTGGCTCACACAGTAAGATATTAAATGTTTGTAGAGCAAAACAGAGAGATGAAACTTGTTCCAAAATTGTATTATGGAAAGCAATACGCTAATTCCACCGACCGTGAAACAATAACAATGGACTTGAACAACCACGGAGGTGATATTTGCTCAGAATCTAAGAAATAGAAACCAATTTCCAAAGAAAAGCCATAAAAAAACACGCAATGCGAAAAGGGTGAGAAATCGGAGAGGAGAAAAATGCGATCGATTTCAAGAAAACTGTGCGACAGCACAAGGACCATAAAATTAGGGTTTCTACGTTATAACCCGACAATTCTTGGTGACGTTTCTACGATATCCGACGAAGCTTACCGGAGAGAAATTAGAGAGAGACAGAGAAAGATCGCGGCGCAGAGCGAGAGCGAGGAACAAGAACAACAAAAAAAAAAGGTTTTTACACAAAAGGTTGTGTTTTTAAAAGCGAAAGTTTTTATAGCGGTATCCTCAACAGCCCGGGCCCAAGTTTACTATGGCCTTATTACTACGATTAACAGTTAAATATTTTTAGTTAAGGTTATTTGAAAAAAATGACAGGTTTGAGTAGCTCGGTAACATGTCGGATTCGAACTTGTTTGTACATAAAATTGCTAAATGAATGAGAATTTTCATCATTTCGGATAAGTTTCTTCAAAATTCAGGATACTATTTTTCAGGATAAATTATGTGAAGTTTTTAGAAATTTTCAACAGAGAATAGATTATTCAAGTTCTTTGTTATTATTTCCAACAGGGGTTGTTCAAACAATCAGATTTAATTCTTTGGACTATTGACTAAGAAAATTTTATGTATTCAACTTATGGTACATTACGTATCCAAAATTCCATTAATAAACATCTATATCTATGCATGTATTCAACTTTCCTTCATTACTTTCCATATTCCGAAGGGTTTAGTTTGAATAAACCCATATCACCAAAAATATTCAGCTTTCGAATTCTCTTTTTCAGCTGACTTTTATCCTACAAATCGAAATCCCAACAAATACTGAAATACATATAACAAATTACTTGGTCATCTTTTTTCTTTTGATTTCTACGAAAAAAAAAAATACAAACAAACAAAATGAAAGTAGGTTTTGCTCTGTTTCTTGTTCTTCTTGTTTCGGTTTCAGAGGCAAAAATAACGAAACAGAATATTGGAAACTTCCTTCGATGTCTTCGCTCTCGGACCAGTCCCCTGAATCCGATAACCGAAGCTCTCTACAATCACGATAACTCCACCTTTGTGTCCACTTACGTATCCTACACGAAAAACAAAAGGTGCTCAAACCCTAACGACACAAACCTAATAGCCATTGTTGCTGCAAAACATGAATCTCATGTTCAGGAAACCGTGGTCTGTGCAAAGTCCAACGAGATCCAGATACGAATCCGAAGCGTTGGTCACGACTACGAAGGTCTTTCTTACATCTCATCTGTGCCGTTTGTTATTCTCGACATGCACAATCTCCGGTCTATTACCATTGACGTGTCCAACAAGAAAGCTTGGGTTCAAGCTGGTGCTACCTTGGGAGAGCTCTACACCAAAATCGCTGAAGCAAGCAAAACGCTGGCGTTTGCGGCTGGCGTTTGCCCTACGGTAGGAGCGGGAGGACACATTAGCGGCGGAGGATACGGAAATCTGATAAGAAAGTATGGAATCTCGGTGGATCATGTTGTTGATGCTCAGTTAGTTGATGCCAATGGCAAGATCTTGAACAGAGCTTCCATGGGAGAAGATTTGTTTTGGGCCATTCGTGGTGGTGGCGGTGCGAGCTTTGGCGTTATCCTCTCCTGGAAAATCAACCTCGTCGAGGTCCCAGAGACCTTGACAGTGTTTAAGGTCAACAAAACATTGGAACAAGGAGTCAATGATGTCCTCTATAAATGGCAACTTGTCTCTAGCAAATTGCCTCGAGAGCTTTTCTTGAGTGCAATGCCACAAATCACGAAGGGAGCAAAATCCGACGAGAAAACCATTGCGGTTGCGTTCTCCGCTCAGTACTTAGGCTCAGCAGAGAAACTAATGGCGATTATAAGCAAGAGTTTGCCTGAATTAGGGCTAAAACGTGAAGATTGTAACGAAATGAGTTGGATTAATACGACGACGTTTTGGGCGGATTTCCCGGTCGGGACACCAACGAGTGTTCTTCTTAAGAGGCCATTAGAACCTCCAGGAGCATTCTTCAAGAGCAAATCTGATTACGTCAAGAAACCTATCCCAAAAGAAGGAATGGAGAAGATTTGGAAAATGATGTTGAAATTCAACAATGTGTGGATGCAGTGGAACCCTTACGGTGGAGTGATGGACAAGATTCCGGCGAATGCCACCGCGTTTCCTCACCGGAAAGGAAACTTGTTCAAGATTCAGTACTTTTCGTTCTGGAACGACGCAAACGTTACAGACGCTAATCTCGGTTCGATGAAGGAGCTTTACGACGTGACGGAGCCGTACGTGTCAAGTAACCCGAGAGAAGCGTTTCTGAATTACAGAGACATCGATATTGGAAGCAATCTGAGTGGAGAGACAAATACTGAAGAAGCTGAGATCTATGGATCGAAGTATTTCTTGGGGAATTTGAAGAGACTGATGGATGTTAAAGCTAAGTATGATCCTGAGAATTTCTTCAGGTATGAGCAGAGTATTCCTCCTCTTCGTGCTATGTGACCGAGCATATTAATCCAAAAAAAAAACTATATAATAAGTTATTCGAGCATGCATTATTTAGAGCTCATGTAATTTGCATAACATATTTGTCCTAGCTACTTACATTAGGAATTCTCTGTTTTGTGATATTATACAATGATCAATAAAGAATTTGGGACTATTTATGTTAACTTTTTGAAAAAAAAAAAATCAGAAGCATAATAGCTAGATAGCCTAGATTAGTGTGTGTACGTAGTGTTAGTGTAGATCGTTAAAGGGAACTAAAGTTGTGTTGGAAAGCAACTTTTCGTAGCAAGTCAAGTATCTGAAAATTTCTGATATTTTAAGGTATCGGTAATTCGGTACGTTTCCGAAAAAAAACTATTCTTTCTATAATTAACTATAAATAAATATTAAAAAATTGAACCTGCCCTCGATTGCGTCTATATCCACAATATAATTCTGTCCGGATCTTATTAGGAAAGAGACGATATCCATGGTTCATAATATCATATGGATCTTATTTGGGAAGATACCACACTTTAAGAGATCGATATCCACGGTTCATAATATCATATGGTCCACAGACATTACTCATACAACTGTTAACGGATAATCATATAAATCTTTCAATAATTTTTACATTCAACACCTTAACTATACAATCTGCCCATAATGTCGACAGAATTTCACATCATACACCCAAATATTAATTTAGATGTGAACACTTGACAATTAACCTCAAGGCTTTTTCTTCTGAATTTAAAATTTACCTCAAGTTCCACTACAAAACAAAGCCTTCTCTTTTTTTGACATCAATCCAAAATAGTCCCATTCTCAATCACTCGGCTTCTTACGAGTGTACCTGACAAATGCCATTCAATCATCACATCCATCTATATCTTTTTGGATCAATACGTGTTATTCTTATCTATCAAACATTTTTTCAAATATATATATCCCACTACAAAGTTTAAATACATTTCTCCTCAAACAACTAATTTTGTTATGAATTATAGCATATGAATATATGTACAGTTATGTATATGTCACTATGCTTCTCTATACATAATTATTATATTTTTATATTTAGAAGAGAGAGACGAGAGTAGAGAGAAGCTATTGCTTCTTCATCTTATTATTGAACTTGTTTTTCTCAACTTAACTTCTCTTACATGTACTGACCCTTATTTATACAATCTTAACTTCTCTTACATGTACTGATCCTTATTTATACAAGAAACAAAGTCAGCGAAAGAAACTTCACGTTAAAGTAAATACTAAAAATATTGATGTGGATAATATATATGTACGTTTTCTTTCTGCCTAACAAAACTTACTTCACTCTTCCACCTTTCTACCTTACAAAGCAAAACTCCATCATTGCAACAAAAAAAAAAAATGAAACTCCAAATCTTCTTTAGCTCTAAATTAGCCTTCTTCACTTCCATCTTCTTACTTCTATCGATTCCTCATGCAGTTTCAGCTGACCGGTCTAATCACACCGGTTTTCTCCAATGTCTCTCTCTCCGGTTAAACGACTCCAACATCGTCTCAAAAGTCATACATACACCAAACGATTCTTCTTTCTCCTCCGTCTTAACTTCCTTAATACAAAACCAGAGATTCTCTGCTCCTGATACACCTAAACCGGTTTTAATCCTAACTCCGGTTCAACCTTCCCACGTCCAATCGGCGGTTAAATGCGCACGCCGGTACGGCATCCACATCAGAACAAGAAGCGGAGGACACGACTACGAAGGTCTATCTTACGTCACACACAAGCCCTTCGTCGTCATCGATCTAAGGAATCTCCGGTCTATCGCAATCGATGTCGATAACCGGTCGGTTTGGGTCCAAACCGGAGCCACGATCGGTGAATTATACTACGAAATCGGTAGAAAAAACAAAACTTTAGCGTTCCCCGCCGGTGTTTGCCCCACCGTCGGCGTCGGAGGACACTTTAGCGGCGGAGGGTACGGTACCCTTCTGAGAAAACACGGTTTAGCGGCCGATCACGTGACGGACGCGCGTGTGGTCGACGCGCGAGGGAGGATTCTTGGAAGGCGAGAGATGGGAGAAGATTTCTTCTGGGCGATTCGTGGAGGTGGTGGTTCGAGCTTTTGCGTTGTTCTCTCATGGAAGATCGGTTTAATCGATGTTCCGTCGAGGTTAACCGTCTTCAACGTCACGAAATTCTCAGAACAGAGCGCTTTGAAGATCATCCATCGTTGGCAGTTCGTCTCTGATAAAGTCTCTGATGATTTATTCGTGCGAGTTATGTTGCAGAGATACAAGAACATGGTTCGAGCTTCGTTTCCGGGTCTGTATCTCGGTTCGGTTACTAATTTATTGAAATTGGTAAACCGGGAATTTCCTGAGTTGGGTTTGGAGAAGAGAGACTGTAAAGAAATGAGCTGGATCGAGTCAGTGGTTTGGTTCGCCGAGTTAGGAGAAGAACCGATCGATGTTCTTAGAAAACGCACACGCGCGTCGCTGTCTTTCAAGGCTAAATCCGATTTCGTTCAAGAACCGATGCCTGAGATCGCGGTTTCCAAGATTTGGAGAAGATTGCAAGAACCGGAAGCAGAGTTTGCTCAGCTGATCTTCACACCGTTTGGTGGTAAAATGAGTGAGATTTCGGATTACGAGACGCCGTTTCCGCATCGTAAAGGGAATGTATACGAGATTCAGTATTTGAATTATTGGAGGAGAGGAGAAGAGAAAGAGAAGTGTATGAGATGGGTGGAGAGAGTTTACGATGAGATGAGTGGGTTTGTAGCGAGATCTCCGAGAGGAGCTTATATTAATCTGAGAGATCTTGATTTGGGGATGTATGTTGGTGTCAAGAGGAGTAAGTACGAGGAAGGTAAGAGTTGGGGAGTTAAGTATTTTAAGAATAATTTCGAGAGATTGGTGAGAGTGAAGACGAGTGTTGATCCTTTTGATTTCTTCTGTGATGAACAGAGCATTCCTACTCTTAAATCTGTTCAAGTTATGTGAAAGAGTCGAATGTTTTGAAAAAATGAAAGATTGGAGATTTTTTGTGTCGGAAAAACAGGAAGCATGGAGTGATAGTGAGTGTTTGTGTTAGTGTATAGTATATGTTATCAAGTAGTTTAAAAATATTTGAATTTCTGTTGGTAAATATTTGATACTATATTAATCATCAATTGGAGGACATATTCATAGAGTACTCGTCTTGAGAGAATCTCAAAACTGATTATATTTCATTGTATTTCGCCCAAAGATCCTTGAGGAATTTGCCTGAAAATTCTGAAGAACAACCTAAGTTTAAGTTTTCTTCAAGAGTAAGCAAGCAAGCAGGTCTAGGTTAAAAAACTGATAACGGAACAGCTCAGTGAAGATTAATACTTCACGGTTTCTAAAAAAAATTGGGTGCGTCTACTTCCACGGGAAAGTTTTGAGAAATTTTCACGCCGTTTACACTGTAACAGAGGAAGCTTGGTCTGAATTATAAACATTAACTTGAATCCGATCACATACTTCGATACGACGTTACTGTTGCTTGCACGTGAAGTAAATCGATAGAAGCAACAACATACATTGATGTCGGCAGCAAAGCAATCGTAGTGGTCAAACACTCACAGTTGCTGATGAAGAAAAAAAGGCTGAGCGTTAATCAATCATTTTAATTCCAAGGATTAATTGGTGATTTAATTCTATCCAATCTCATCAAATAAATTTCAAATTGAAGAAAATAAAATTTATTTTATAATATTCATTTTTCATAGTTTTCTATGTGTCAGTTTCTTGTCATCCAATGTTCTTTTTATAGAGGGCATTATAAGGGTATTTATAACTGCATAGATATATCGATATTACAAAGGGATGATTCTATGGATCAAAATAGGATGAAGTAGTTTGAGAGAAAAGAGAATAAGCAAAAACTTAGCTAACTTTAGGAGATATCACATACTAATAAAAGAAAGTGAAGAACGAGAGAAGAACAATAATCTCACTAAAACGAGAGAAGCTCACTAACGATTATTAGTTATGGTGTTCACGATCGGTTCGGCCTCCACGGCCACGACTCCGTGACCATTAACATTATTCCACGGCTTCCGCGACTACGACTCACTACGAGTTTAGTCAATGTTTATTGCGTCTATTTTAACAAGTTATAGCGTCCACGTGTGATATATTCTTAACATTAGAATCTAAATAACCAATCTAGACGTCCGCTTTCAAAACACGTATCATAGCTAATTCTCAGTCGAATTTTTTTAAAAAGAGGCAACTGATTAAATAACCTCTTTTGATATTTTCACTACTGGTCATCGTGTACTAAAGATTTGCCATGTGCAATCCGTAACATTATAATGCAACAACAAAGCTCACTGAATTTATCGAAAATATTCAAAAGTTCCCACATGTTTTCAGTTACAATTTTTTTGTAAAAAGTCTTCCATCGTTAACTTCCAGTTTTATTTTTATTCTTATCTTCAGTACCGAAACCATTTATTGCTCTTAAGAAAAAGCAAAGCAAGATCGTCTGAAATGATGAATAAGATATAAAAATAATTTTATTACTCAAACGTGCTTAATTAACCGGTTGGAAAGTTCTTTTAGCTCACCAGATTTCGATTAGAGCACCATGCACCGCCTACGTCATATCCACTAAAAAAAAAACATTTTGAAAAAATGCTACAACATTTCGGCCTAAAGGAAGTAAACGGGAAACGACGAAAAAACACGTTATTCTTTAACAAAAACAAAAAGAAAAAGAAAAACACGTTATCGATCGTGGAATGAATTAGTGACGCACACATGCTCACAACGATTTTTAATGTAAGCCACACAAATAAGAACCAAGCCCTTGCATTTTCAACTTCAACAACAATGAAAATAAGTTTTTGCTGCTTTATCACATTGAATCGTAATGTTGAATTTAATCATTTGTCTTTATATTTCAATCAAAACTTCTCCATTTTACAGGGTTTATGGTTCATGGCTAACCTTGTTTTATCAACATTGGCGACATGAACTGTATATCTCAGTTTTCCAGTTGAAAATTGCAATAGAATGGAATTGTGTCGTGTACATCCCTAATGTTATATAGACTCGTCAACAAAATATGCATCTTCTCTAAGAAAATATAGTTTTTCCTTAAAAACAAAATACTAATAACTATATACTAGTATATTGTTTCTAAGAATCTTATTTTATCCGTCTATTGGAGTTTTTCTAAGTCTTAACAGAAGAGGACTTTTTACTCAATAAGAAGACTTGAAAGTTGGAAACATCAAAATATGAAAATTAAATGAGTGTACAAGACTACAGTTTACAATAATTCATATTAAGTCAAAAAAATGAAGCCGTTTCATCTCTGATTTTGATGGTTGCTAAAAATACTTAATTGATAATATTTCAGAATGCCTTAGTCAATAATTGATAATATTTCAGAATGCCTAGCCTTAGTCAATATTTTTATCCATTTACATGATAACTGTGGTTGCTGTAGCTAGAGAAAAAACATAGACACAAATAAAACAAATATAAAAAAATGCAGAGGATTAGTTCATTGAAAAAACTGTATACATATGGTGACATATTTAAACTCAACTATCAAATATAATTAGTTCACGTGGATGAAATTTGCTCGTACGATATAATATACACAAGTTACGTTGTTTAAACTTTAAAGTCTTCTCTTTGAACTTTTCTTGCCTCCATCACAGTCCCACAAACCCATTTGGAATTTATTACCGACGTTGACCATTGACTTAAAAACCAGCGAAGAAAATGACATTAAATAAACAAACGGCTCAATATAATACTAATAAAAAAGCAAACGTTTTGTTATAATAATACCTTCTTTTTTGTACCAACAATTTTATATAATATAAATATTCCTACAAAAATTATGTTTACTCGCTAGTTTATCTGCATTTGCTACTTCTCTTATGCTATGAGGGTTAATGATTTAGACTATTTAAAAGAAATATAAACGATATTTCTTATCTTATCCCTCTAAGTCTAAAATTACGAGTCTACTAATGAGGTTCAAGAATATAACAAATAAGTGACTGAGATCTTGAGAAGTGAAAACAAAGAAATACGTTTAGTTTTTGGTCAACGAATAACAATAGATGTTAAAGATATCTTTTGATATTTGCAATTTTATAAAATATTTTAGTTTTTTAAAAACCAATTGAGGAATATTTTTAATCACAAGAGCATATTGTCGTAATGAAGAAGTGATTGACCGAATTATCAACCAAAACTTTCTAAAATTTGCGAGACATATCTTCCCCCTGCGGTTATAAATAAACCGGATAAGTTAGTGCAGGAACAGAGAAACACGAGACCCAAGAAGAAAGATCCCATTTTTTCACAATGCTCACGACACGACAAACCTTTTGCTCTGTCGTATTCTTCCTTCTCTTCCTCTCTCTACCTCTCTGCTCTTTCTCCCAATCACCGAACTCTGTCTACAACTCCTTCCTCAAATGTTTCTCCGAGAAGACGAAATCCCCACAAGCCCAAATCGCCAAAAACGTCTTCTCTCAGAGCGATCCTTCTTACTCCTCCGTTCTCCGTGCGTACATACGCAATGCGAGATTCAACACTTCCTCTACTCGCAAACCAACAATCATCGTCACTCCTCGCTCCGATAGCCACGTCAGCGCCGCCGTCATCTGCTCCAAACCCTTAAAAAACTTCGTCCTCAAGATCCGAAGCGGCGGCCACGATTACGATGGTCTCTCTTACATCTCCGATAAACCCTTTTTCATCCTCGACTTGTCGAATCTCCGCGACGTCTCCGTCGATATCGCCTCCAATTCGGCGTGGATCTCCGCCGGAGCGACACTCGGCGAGGTTTACTACCGAATCTGGGAGAAAAGCAAAATCCATGGATTCCCCGCCGGAGTTTGTCCGACGGTCGGTGTCGGAGGTCATTTAAGCGGCGGTGGGTACGGTAATATGCTGAGGAAGTTCGGATTGTCTGTCGATAACTTGATCGATGCGAAGATCGTCGATGTAAAAGGTCGGATTTTGGACCGGAAATCGATGGGTGAAGATCTTTTCTGGGCGATTTCCGGCGGCGGAGGAGGAAGCTTCGGCGTCGTTTTGGGTTACAAGGTAAAGCTCGTTCCTGTGCCACCGATCGTGACGGTTTTCCGGGTGGAGCAGTATATGGATTCCGGAGCGGTGGATATGGTTCACAAATGGCAATCAGTGGGTCCTAAAACCGACCCGAATCTGTTCATGAGGATGCTGATTCAGCCCGTGACGAGGAAGAAGGTGAAGACGGTGAGAGCCTCCGTGGTGGCTCTGTTCTTAGGCAGAGCAAACGACGTCGTTTCTTTGCTTCGTAAGGAGTTTCCAGAATTGGCTCTAAAGAAGGAGAACTGTACGGAGATGTCTTGGTTACAGTCTGCTTTATGGTGGGATAATCACGTTAACGCTACTCAGACCGATCCTAAAGTGTTTCTTGATCGGAATCTTGATTCCGCAAGCTTCGGGAAGAGGAAATCGGATTATGTTGCGACTCCGATTCCTAGAAACGGGATCGAGTCTCTGTTCAAGAAGATGATCGAGCTAGGGAAAATCGGATTGGTTTTCAATCCGTACGGCGGGAAAATGGCGGAGATCGCGGAGGACGCGACGCCGTTTCCTCACCGGAAGAAGCTTTTCAAGATTCAGTACTCAGTGAACTGGAAAGAATCGTCTCCGGAGATAGAGAAGGGTTTCTTGAATCAGGCTAAGGTGCTACACAGTTTCATGACAGGGTTTGTGAGCAAGAGCCCTAGGAGTGCTTACTTGAATTACAGAGATGTTGATATCGGGGTGAATGATCACGGGAAGAATAGTTACAAGGAAGGAGAGGTTTATGGAAGATCGTATTTTGGGAAAAACTTTGATCGATTAGTGAAGGTTAAAACAGCTGTGGATCCAGGGAATTTCTTCAGGAATGAACAGAGTATACCTACCTTGCCAAGTAAGGCATAATTAGATATATTTATCACTCATTTGATATAAAAGATTGGTTTACTTTGCTATAATGTAATGCTTTGGTGAAGCAATATAGAAGAATGTATGGTTTTGGATTTTTGTATATTTCTATAGTTTGTCTGATTCTTGGAACTCTGCAATAAAGTCTGCCTAGATTGGTTGTATATGAAAGAGAAGTAAATAAGTCAAATTTTCTGGTGATGAAAACCAAATTTGAAACCGGTGATTGTTGGAATTAGCTACCTGCTTTTGAAATTCATAGCTAAAATTGTGGAAATTTACGGGTTTTGTTTGGAGTAGTTGACGATGATTCTGGACCGTGTTCTTGTGACCTGCAATTTTTGTGTAATGAATGAGATAGTGTTGACTTTTAGACCTGGTTTGGTTGCAGTAGCGAATGGAACGGTTGTGACTGAATCGGGAACGGCGAGACGGTGGTCACGAGCCGGAGGAGCCACCGTAGTTGCAACGGTGGCTTTACATGTCTTCTAGAATTTTAAGATTGTTTCTTTACATGTATTCTAGAATTTTAAGATTGTTTTTTTTTTCAATCGTTGACTAATGGTATCTCTTCCATAAGATGAACAGAGTCTCAGTAGTTTCACATCTGTCGAAGTTATCTGAAGTTGTGAGAAGATTTTGTGTCAGAAACAAAGCATCCAATGACGTGTTAATATTGCTTTATGTATCATTGATGTATAGATAATGGAAAATTCATAGCCCTGAGGAATTATTAAAAAACTCAGAAGAACAATGGAGAATTTCTGCAAAAATGTATAATTATTATTTAGGAATAACCTTCAAATATTTTCCGTTTATAGGAAGTATATTAATTTGTGTATATACATGACTATAATTACTGAAGACATTTATAAATTTTTATATTTTACCAGTATTCAATATTGAATCGTCATAGAAAATGTTATTTATGTATTAAAAAGAAAATCAACTTAAATAAATTTGTCTTTGACTAAAATATATGGGAGTTAAAAAGCTCCCACAATGTTCACTGGATTTGAATAATATAACTGAGACGGCGGGAATTAAGGTAGGATTCAGTGAAAGATGCTAACAAATGAAAGAGATCGAAGGCGACATAGAAGATAATCCAATTTGATTTCATGGAAAGAAAAAGAAAATAATCTGATGTGATTTTCTTTCTCCGTAGAAGTAAAACACATATAAATTCATAAACAAAAAATAGAAATTCATAAACAAAAAACACAATTCATAAAATATCAAAACTGTATGTATAAATATTCTGAAAATATTAAAAATCTTCATGCAGGTAACATGCTAAATTATGTATACGTAAATTAGTAACCTTGGTCACATTTTCTTGATGTTAAAGTATTTTCTCTTTGAACTTGTTATTCTTTCCTTTGTAGTGTCTTATACATTAATCCAACTAGAATTTTGCCACCGACATCGACTAAATGGTACGACCATTGACTAAACCCAAAAAACTGACTACTTTTAAAAATTTTAAAAAGGCTAACATACATTATGTAACTCCTAAATTTTAATATGCAGTGGATCAAAGTTTAGAATTAAGAAAAAATCTCTTTCCCTGGAATTAGGTTTTATACCAAATAAATAAAGATACAAGTGGAGTTAACATGCTTGCTTAAAACAAATATTTTTTTGAAGTACATATATTCTCTGTCTTACAGTTATAAAGCACATTACAGAGAAGCAGCCAAATAAAAAACTTTCACTTTAAACAATGATTACGACACAAACCTTTGTCTCTGTTCTTTTCTCTGTCCTCTTCTTGTCTCCCCCTTTCTCCTCATTCGCTGCACCTCCCTCGTCGGATTCCGTCTACGAATCCTTCGTTCAATGTTTCTCCGACAAGACGAAATCACCACAAACACAAATCACCCAAAAAGTCTTCTCTCAGACAAACCCTTCTTACTCCTCTGTTCTCCGTGCTTACATCCGAAATGCGAGATTCAACACTTCTTCAACTCCAAAACCAACAATCATCGTCACTCCTCGCTCCGATAGCCACGTCAGCGCCGCCGTAATCTGCTCCAAACCCCTAAATTTCGTCCTCAAGATCCGAAGCGGCGGCCACGATTACGATGGTCTCTCTTACATCTCCGATAAACCCTTTTTCATCCTCGACATGTCGAATCTCCGTGAAGTCTCCGTCGATATCGCCGATCAATCGGCGTGGATTTCCGCCGGAGCGACACTCGGCGAGGTATACTACCGAATCTGGGAGAAAAGCAAAATCCACGGGTTCCCCGCCGGAGTTTGTCCGACGGTTGGTGTCGGAGGTCATTTAAGCGGCGGTGGATACGGGAACATGGTGAGGAAATTCGGATTATCAGTGGATTACGTTGAGGATGCGAAGATCGTCGATGTAAAAGGTCAGATTTTGGACCGGAAATCGATGGGTGAGGATCTTTTCTGGGCGATTTGCGGCGGAGGAGGAGCTAGCTTCGGCGTCGTTTTGGGTTACAAGGTAAAGCTCGTTCCGGTACCGGATACCGTGACGGTTTTCCGGGTGGAGCAGTATATGGATACCGGAGCGGTAGATATGGTTCACAAGTGGCAATCCGTGGGTCCGAAAACCGACCCGAACCTGTTCATGAGGATGCTGATTCAACCCGTGACGAGGAAGAAGGTGAAGACGGTGAGAGCTTCTGTGGTTGCTCTGTTTTTAGGGAAAGCAGACGACGTCGTTTCGTTGCTTGCTAAGGATTTTCAAGAATTGGGTTTGAAGAAGGAGAACTGTACGGAGATGACTTGGATTCAGTCGGCTTTATGGTGGGATAATGACGAAAACGCAACTCAGACTGATCCTAAAGTGTTGCTTGATCGGAATCTTGATTCCGCTAGCTTTGGGAAGAGGAAATCGGATTATGTCGAGGCAGAGATTCCTAGAGATGGGATCGAGTCTCTGTTCAAGAAGATGATCGAATTGGGGAAGATCGGGCTTGTTTTTAATCCGTACGGCGGGAAAATGGCGGAGGTTGCGGTGGATGCGACGCCGTTTCCGCATCGGAAGAAGCTTTTCAAGATTCAGTACTCGGTGAACTGGAAAGAATCATCTCCGGAGATAGAGAAAGGTTTCTTGGATCAGGCTAAAGTTCTTTACAGTTTCATGACTGGGTTTGTGAGCAAGAACCCTAGAAATGCTTACTTGAATTACAGAGATGTCGATATTGGGGTGAATGATCACGGGGTGAATAGTTACGAGGAAGGAGAGGTGTATGGAAGGAAGTATTTTGGTGCGAATTTCGATCGATTAGTGAAGGTTAAAACCGCGGTTGATCCAGAAAATTTCTTCAGGAATGAACAGAGTATACCTACCTTGCCAAGCAAGGCATAGTGAAAAAACATTTGACCTTTGTTTTTTTTTTTAATTACAAAAGAAGAATGAAAAGGTTTGGTTTTTTTTACTAAACCAGTATTGTTTAGTGGAGGAGAATATAATAATATGATTTGGAATATAGTTTATTGCATTCACGGAACGCTATGATAAGATTCTTTTTCATAAAGTTGAAAGTATAAAAGGGGTTGGTATTGATGACAAAAACAGAAATTCAAAACAGTTGATTGTTGAAGTTAGCTACCTGATTTTGAAATTCATGGCGAAAATTAAGGAAATTTGGGTTTAGATGGAGTAATTTAAGAGTTGATATGATTCTCGTGAGTAAAGTTTGGATCTTGTGAAAGATGTTAGTGTTGACTTTTGACCAAAATTGGGTTGCAAATTTGCAATAGCTAGTGTCCTTGTTTCCTGAGACGGTCACGGCCACATGGTGATTCATGAGCTGGAGGAGCCACCGTTTTCGTAGAACTTGTACCGGTAGTCTGAAAACTGAGTCGTTGACTGAAGCTTACAAGTCAAACTTTGTGTTAAGTTTTAACGGTTTTGTAGTAGATTTGTGTACGCTATCAACTCTGTACAGTACACACACATTTCCACGAACTTCCGTTTTCAATTATAAGGATTAAATAATTTGTTGGATTTTTTTTTAATGCCACTAACAAAAGAAAAAAAAAATTCAATTATGCATGGTTCAAGACTCCAAAGAGTGGTAATGATACTGAATCATGAATTCAACAAAGATGGTTCAACAAATAATTTATAATCCATCTTTTGTTTTAATATTATTGGAGGCTTAAACCACCATGGACTTTCAAAGGAGTTAACATGTGAATATTGGTCAACTACTGTAACAACAAAGTTAATCTGTGAACTGGAGGTTTATTTGATAACTATGGTTTTAAATGGTACTATAATAGTATAAAGAAGATTATTTAAAACTTTTAGCAATGAAATTTGATCGTTTTAGAGATAAGTTTAGGATGTTAGAACTTAGAACTTTAGGATGTTTAGGACAGTTTAAAAGAATAAATGTATGGGGTGGTCTTATTAGGAATAATTTCTATAGCACAAGATGGTGGTAGTATTATAATTGATTTTGGAGATCATTTTGAAAGAAAAAAAGAAAGCATAAATTATGATTTTTTTTTTAATCTTCAACATAAAATATGTTAGTATAAAAATCTAAGGCGTGCCATAAACTCCGAGTGTATATCATATATCATCAATAAAATACACATATTGAGCACTACTTTTGAAGAAAGTGGTGTTAGTCTCAAACCAGATCATAAGACATCAGAATTTGCGGCATTAGTAAATACCAAACCTCTTATTGGAAGAAGTAGGTGAGATGAGAGTCTTCCGTCAATTAATTAGTAGAAGACATATGCAATACAGAAAGACAGATCCAAAATATTCAATTGGAAAATTAGATTGAAATTCGAGTTATAACTCGGCGACAATATTTTGAAAATACCACTAAAATACAAAAGAAGATTAACTAATTAATATTCGAGTACTACAATAATAGACGGAAACAATAGAAATACTAAAATTGATCGATAATTTTATCAATTCACAACTGAAATATATCGATATAGACTAAGAACATACGGTTTATAAAGAAAGAGAAAATGAAACAGTAGTTTGGGTTTCGGAACAAGCTTTTTATTGGACAATAGTTTTAACATCGACAACTAAAAGAGAGGTAAGCTTGCAGGGAAACGAACTTGCATCCATTGCTTCTCATACGTAACCAAATGGCTCCAACCTAATTCCTCCAGCAATCCCAGTTTCATTTCGTACAGTTTCTTATTCGCACTCCCGTTCTCGTTTTGGATCATGTCATCAAGTACCTGAAAAACCATTATCAATTAATACAGTCATGGGGGTCAGTGATAATCAGATGATCATTATTACAGTTTTACTTGGTATGTTTCAAGATTAGATCAAAGTGTTTACCTTCAATGCGGTCCCGAGTCGTGAGAGCCGTTTCTCTCGTAGAACAGTGAGAGTACAGAATTTAGATGATTTCACGTCTACCCATTTTGTCAGTTCTTTGAAATTCTCTTCGAATCTATCCTTCTGGCTACTTTCTTCTTCTCTTTCTTCTTCCTTCTCAACCTGCAAACAAATGAGTAGTGTAATCGCCCAATATTAGCTAACAAATTGCTTATGACACCATTCGTAGTTATTCGCTACATTCATCTGACTTTCATAATCACCGTTTAGCATGTTCCTATTTTCTAGTCAGATAAATATATTATCAGTTCACGAGGTGATAAGTGAGATCAATATTGGTCTTGCCTTCAAATCCTCGAGTCTCGCTATGGCTAACCCTTTCTGGTATAGTGCTTCTGCCAGTTGGTCACGGGTC